CCCCCGGGTCATGCGCCCGCCGGAAATTTTCGTTCTCCACTGACACCGTTTCGTGAATTGGGTGCCTCACTGATCCCTGTCGAACACCGTTGAGGACTTGAATCCTATGTTAACCTGCCATCGAAAGGTAACCGATCTGCGAGGCACAGACCACTTATCCTGTAAGGGGTTCGGGCTCGTAAGATCTTTCAAAACGCCCTGCGATACTACCTCTACCGGCACAGCATCGACCCCCATAAACTCTGCCATGGGTGTCTGGTTGTTGGGTATCGTAGGGGGTTGGGTGTGCCGTCTGGTTGAGTGTCCAAGCATCGTACGGGTTATAGTGTCAGTGCCAAGCAGCGTCTTAATAAACCCGCATCTTCGGTTGATTAAGGGGGATGCAGTAGGTCCCGCCGGGGTTGTTTGAGCCGTTGACGTAAATCTGGGTTGCTTTCGGATTGTCTATCCTTGAACCAGCAGGCTTGTTAATTTGTTAGGACGGTCAGCGAATCATGTTGGTCTGGGCGGATGAGGTATGCGACTGGTGTGCCAGATGCGCCGAGCCCAGTCTGTCGCTTTGCTTTCAGATACGCATTCCGCAGAATCGTATCCTTATTCCGCGCCGCCATGTCAAGTAGTCCCCACGCCGATATTTTTTGCTGCTCAACGATGTCGCGAACCCGCCACCAACCGCCTTCCCACGGATGGGGAAAGTTGGTCTGAGGCTTATAGTGGGGAAAGGCTCTTAACGTGTTACCGCCTTCGTCTAGCAGTTGCTTCCTGTCGTCTTCGCCCTTCAGTTGGCTTTTGTGGATGTACATCGGCGTCGCCAACTTAGCATGTGCCGATTCCGTCAACATACTGGCGCTGTTGTGATATAGTTCCCCATTTCCAGTGGAAACCGAGGTGACTGACCGGCATACAGCGACCCACGGAACAGCGACGCATTGAAGGACGCCGGTCTTACAGACTCCTCCGGTAAGCGTCGGGGCTGAGGAGTAGTCGCTGGGTCCATGCGCCATGTCGCACGGTCTGCCGAGCGAGACTAGTGTGCGCTGCGTCAGGAGCCGCAAACCGTCCTCGTGCGGCGCGCTAGCCCTGCAGTGACTGGTCGCCGTGCCCTTCTCTTGTCGGCGCGGCGGGCACCACGATCGATTGCAACGGCTCTGAATCGGGGACACACCCAACCATAACGGCGCAACGTAGCAGCCCATCTCATGATGGTCTTGGTAGGCGTGGGGCTGCCACTCCTGATACATGATTTGCGCCATATATTGAGACTCAACCAAGTTAAACATAAAAGCGTCGCGGTTGTTGTCATGACCGGCATACTTGTGATACAACCACGGCGGCGTAGAGCCTTCGTACTCTGTGCCGAGGTATCTGTTGTACCAGTCGGTCACCATAATCTGGCCATCTGGGTTAAAGCACGGCACCATCAACGAGATGACGTTATCCAGAATGCGCGTCGCTTCCTCATCGGTCCGGGTGATCTGATCGTAAGCTAACTCCGATACCATCTGGGTGCTGCCAATCTCTGTTGCGTGCAGCCCCATTGATTGGAGGATAATCGCCTTTCCTTCGCCCACGAGCGAGCTTATTACTTCCTCCGATACGCCGCGCGGATCCTTGATTTGAGCGTTCACTTCGCGGAGACGTGCCAAATTCGCCAGATTCGCCGGTGAGGAGATAATCACAAATAGAAACGGGTGTCCCTCTGTGGATGGTCCCATATCAATGACTTGAATCTTATCGCTCTGCTCCTCCAATAATCGGAAGTAATCGACAATCTGATTCCACCGTGCCATCTTCCGATCACTTCCAAGCTGGAAGCCAAAAAACGCTTCGGGTGACGTTATCTGTTGATCCATCGTTTTCTCCTGTTTGAGGGGTCGTACCGCTTACACTTTACCCGATCCCCAGCTGCTCGTTAATCTCGCCCTGATACCCTTCCAATTCGCAGTTTTCAATCTCCGCCAACGTAACCGGGCGACCATGCCAACCGGATTCGTAGACCGCCATGCAGACGGCTTCGGACTTCATGCCCTCAATCCCATCGACCTCCGGTTTGCCGCCGGTAGTGATGGCGTCCGCAAAATACTTGAGCTCTATGGCAACGGTATTCTCAATACCACTTGGGAAGTAATATTCACGTTCCTCATCGCTGAGGTGCGCCAGAAATTCTTGGAGTAGGACTTCGTTGCTGATGGTTTCGCCGCCACGAGGCGTGAGTCCCACCTCGAAATCCAAACTACCTTCGCTGCCGTAAACGGTTCTGTGACTGATACCGTTCCCCGGTCCCGAACCGACCCACGTCCACTGAGCGGTAATACCACGCTCAAATTTAATTGCAGCGATCATCGCGTCCTCAACGTCAACATCGTAGCCGCCCTTGCCGCGCTGCCGGATCGTCATAGCGGTAGGGTTCGTAAGCCTTATTAATCGCGTAAACCTCTACCGCCTCCGCCTCCAAGATAAAGCGCATGAGATCTGTAAAGTGAACACCACCATCAAGCACCCAACCGCCGCCGGCGTCCATCTTGAAATTACGCCAACTCCATTTCCCTAAACCTTCGCCGACCTCTACCCAGAAAAACATCCGTGGGTCACCAATCCGTCCTTGACGCACCGCCCACCGTCGGGCCCGCTGGACCCGATCGAGACGATAATTTTCTGCGACAGATAGGATGCGGTTGTTCTTCTCCGCTGCGTCGAGGATGAGTTTACAGGCACGCATGGTAATGCCGAGCGGCTTTTCGATGATAACATGCATTCCCGCTTCCAGCGCGGCGACAGCAAGGGTGTGGTGTGCGCTGTGGAGGGCACAGATATCCACACAATCGAGGTCTGAATGCTTAGCGAGTATCTCTTCAACATCCGTATAGACCGCCGGCTTTGTGCCTCCTTGAAAATTCATGCGCTTGGGTTGCCCGTTCTTCCGCACGACTAACATCAATGTCGCAGGCGGCGACGATGTCAAAGGACTTGATCTCCTTTGACCATAGCTCTTGATAACCTTGCATATGGGCACCGGACATACCTCCACAACCAAGTAATCCCATTTTGAGTCGATCTGACACGATTTATCCTCTGTTTATTTTGTTTCACGTTAAAAAATTGCACAAAGAAACCGAGTTTTTAAGTACGGGCGGGGTAACCCCGTCCCTACGGTTTCTCCTCGTCCATCATGGACGGATTATGGTTCCGTCAGCCAGTCTTACGTTGCCCCATGACCAGTTAGAACGTGCCGGTTCTGTTACTGGGTACTTTGCTGCTAACTCTCGTCTATATCTATGCCCAAGCCAGGCTTGCCGTTGGACCACATATATCCGTTGCGGACTTCAGGCGTTCCGGGGAATACCTCCTTCAGCAGATCGGTCTGGTAGGGCCCCGCCTCTTGGATGCCGAAATTCCACACGTTCAGGTCTAGCATGAGTTGGGCGGCGTGACCCACAGGGGAGACATCCGTGGGACCGTGCCAAGCGGTTCGGACGTTGAAGGCTTCGCAGAGTGCTGCCAGCTTCCGTGCTGGCGTCAATCCCCCGATTTGAGAGACATGGACACGCATGAAATCGAGCAGTCGGTCCTTGACCATCGGAATAATCTCATGCGGATTGTTGTACAACTCACCCATAGCGATCGGCGTACTGTCTGCTCGCGCACCAGCCGGAAGTAGTCGTTATCCTCCGGCGCGAAGAGATCCTCCAAGAAAAAGAGCCTAAACGGCTCAAGCTCTTTCGCCAAGCCGAGACCTATGATAGGCGGAAGTCGTTCATGGACATCGTAGATAACATCGACATCCCAGCCGAAGGTGGAACGGAAATGTTCAAAAGCGCGTACAATCCCGCGAACCGATTTTACTGGGTCGTAGATGCTGCCGCTCGATTCGGAAACCTTGTTTGTGATGACGGGCTTTTCGCTATAGCGGTGTGTCGTCCGAGAAGAAGCGATCTGCGCCCCCAAGTTTGAAGTAACGAAAACCATCTTCGATAAACGCCCAAACATTTTCTTCATATTCTTTAAGGTCAGACCCTCCCGGCACGATGTATACCGCAGCAGCTTCCCTCGATTTTCCACCGAATAGGTCGTAAACGGGCATTCCCGCAACCTTGCCCTTGATGTCCCACAACGCTTGGTCTACACCGCTTATGGCGTTGTTGAGGATGGGGCCGTTCCGCCAGTATGCCGACACATTACACGACTGCCAGATGTCTTCGATGTCAGCGGGATCCTTGCCAATGAGAAACGGGCGGAGGTAGTCATTGACGGCGGTTTCAACAACGAGAGCACGTTGGGTAAAAGTGGCACAGCCCAAGCCGTACAATTCCGGTTCATCGGTCTCTATTTTCACTACATTGAGGTTTGCGGTCGGCTGCGTCACAATGACGCGAACATCACGAATTTTTAGGTTGCTCATGGATTCTCCTTTAGTGGATATGCGTTTCACGTTTTAGAGAACACCACAGTAGGCACAAGCCGAAATTGGTGAAGCTCCGCGATCGTCTCCGTTTCAGGTGCCAAGTAACGTTCGTGATTGGTAACACAGTTGGGATTCTCACATGACCGTTGATCCGATACCATCTTTCTCGTCGGCGGTTGCGTCAAAACTAGTGTTCAAGCCCCAGTAAACTTGCAACCAACGCCATTCGAGTGGGAACGGCGTTCGCAGATTGTTCAAAATATGCCGCACGTGCATCCTCATCTAACTCGTAAGCCAACTCGTGACACGCGGTAATGGGTGCATAATTATTGCATCGGGTTTAGCGTAATTCATCACTGCGACGTCCACAAGATAGCTTCCCCGTGCAGCTTCCGGAGAGATCTCCGGCGGTAAACGCTCCTCCTGAAGCCGATTCACATAGATGACATCAAGCTCACCGATCACGTCGCTGAGTTGATTGATTTCAGGCGGCTCTGACCGTAGAGATGTTTCAAGCGGGTAGAAACCCATTCGGGCATCTGAAATCCATCGGGCGAAATATGGAGGAGTTTCCCGCCGAATCGTGCAACGCCGAGTGCGAGCGAATGCGCTGCGCGCCCGTATCGCAGGTCGCCGCAAATACCAACTGTCAGCCCTTCTATCCGCCCTTTCCGCTGGAGGATTGTGTACAGGTCTGTGAGTGCCTGCGTGGGATGCCGATGACTGCCATCACCGCCGTTAATCACTGGGACATTGGAGTAGCGAGCCATGACATGGGCTGCGCCCGCCCAATTGTGACGGACAACAATCAGGTCGGAGTAGTTTGTGACCATGCGGGCGGTGTCCGCAATCGTTTCGCCCTTTGAGACAGAAGCAGCGCTAGGGTCTGCGAAACCGAGTGAGCGCCCATCGAGTCGCCCTATCGCACTTTCAAAGGAGAGGCGCGTCCGTGTGCTCGGTTCGTAAAAGAGCGTTGCTAACAGCTTGCCTTTACAGAAACCAGACCATGTGGCAAGCTGCGTCCGCATCTGATCTGCGAGTCGAAAAATCTGTTCAATTTCAAAGTTGGATAGGTCATCAAGTGTGATGAGGTGTCTCATAGGGAATCCTCGTTGATGATATTGATAAAAGTTCGTAGATTTATCTGAATTTTTTCATTTCTGTGACTTCCAAACTCCCCACCAATTCTGCGATTGAACGCATCCCATGCTGTTCAAGATATTCTTCGATGCCGTCAACTACATCTAGGGAGGCGCGTGGATTGATGAAATTTGCGGTCCCGACCGCAACGGCGGAAGCACCTGCGATGCAAAACTCAATAGCGTCATCGCCAGTCATGATGCCGCCCATGCCGATGATTGGAATGCTGACCGCATTGTAGACCTGCCAAACCATACGCAACGCAATCGGCTTGATGGCGGGTCCCGAAAGCCCACCTGTGACGTTGGCAAGTTGTGGACGACGGGTGTTGATGTCGATTGCCATGCCAAGGGCGGTATTGATCACGGAAAGCCCATCGGCACCGGCATCCGCCGCAGCTCGCGCAATGACCGTAATATCTGTGACATTTGGCGAGAGTTTGACAAGTAGCGGTAGGGTAGTCTTCTCTCTAACGCTTTTAACCAGTTCATCGGTCAACTTTGGGTCAACGCCAAAACTCATCCCACCGGAATGGACATTTGGACAGGAGATGTTGAGCTCTATTGCCGCAACCCCATCGGCAGCGTCCAGCTTCTCCGTAATTTCCAAATATTCTTCCACCTGCTTGCCGCAGATGTTCACAATGACGGGCACATCGAAGTTGCGGAGATAGGGCAGCTTCTTATCAATGAATCCATCAACGCCAACATTTTGCAACCCAATCGCGTTGAGCATTCCCGATGGCGTCTCAAAGATTCGTGGCATCGGATTTCCCGTCCACGGCACACTGGTGATCCCTTTGACAACGACCGCACCAATCTGATTCAGGTCAATGAAGTCCACGTACTCGCTGCCGTAGCCAAAAGTCCCCGACGCCGTCATGACGGGGTTTTTCATCCGGATACCGGCGACATTAACTTCAAGTGAAGGGTGAGTGCCACTCATTTTTCCATCCTCACTCTTGCATATAAGGCATCTGTTTTTGCCGCCATGATAAAGTCGTTCCGATGCAGCCCACGGATTTTGTGTGTCCACCATGTGACAGTTACCCTTCCCCATTCGGTCAAGAGCGCGGGATGGTGTCCTTCCTCCTCTGCTAGTTCTCCTACATGGTTTGTGAACGCCAACGCCTGTGCGAAACCATCAAACTGGAAAAGACGTTCCAGCCGTTTGATCTCATCACGCTCGATTAATTCCCATTCGGAAACCTGCGGGTGATATTCCGTAATCTCTGCCTCAGTAACCTTTGGTGCATCCCGGCGGCAGGCAACACATTTCATCCCTGTTAACCCTTCCATGATTAAATCTCCTTTCAAACTCTTTTTACGTTTCACGTTTCACCAAATAATATCTTCAGCATTGAACACGGGTCCCTCGGTACAAACCCGTTGATACTCAAATCCGCCTCCCGGCATTTGCACTTTGCAGACGCAACCGAGACAGACCCCCAACGCACACCCCATCCGATTCTCCATCGCTAATTGCGTGGGAATATGATAATCCAACGCAATTTTTGTAATGGTACGCAACATCCCATCAGGTCCACAAGCGTAGATGATAGGATTTTGCAGCTCGTGAGTTTCGAGGATGTGCGTGAGCAGTTCGGTAACAAATCCGTGATGTCCTACACTGCCATCATCGGTTGCAATGTGTGTCTCAACGCCGATAGCTTTCAAATCTTCCACGCTCAACAACCGTGCTTGGTTCATCGATCCAACCAAGCCTAGCGCGTGCACACCCACTTCCCGTAAGACAACGGCAAGCAGCATCAATGACGCTATTCCAGCCCCACCCCCAACGATTATGGCGGGATTGGGAACTGGTGAATCTCAAGGTATTCCAAGCGGTCCCAGCACTCGAATCGAATCACCCCACTTCAAGCGAGACAACACGTTTTGTCCCCTCACCGATGAGTTGATAAGCATCGTGATCTGATCGTCTTCAACCGTGTAGATTGTAAACGGACGGCGCAGGAGCAATCCACTACCTTGTGGGATGAGGACATGGATGAACTGTCCGGGGAGTGCGCATGCGGCAATCTCTGGACACGAACAGCGCAATAGATAGTGGTTTTCGGCAACTAGCTCGTTAGAGATAACTTCTGTAGGAAGGTCGAATTTTTTAGTGGATGTCGGCATAGAATTTATATCGTCGCGAGTCAAACGTAAGCGGTTTCTTTTTACGCTTTCCAGAGTGGGTTCCTCCATCAAGTACAAAGGACATTGATAATTTTAACCTGTTTTAGAAAGAAACGCAACCGTTTTCCCAAATCGCAAGAAATATGCAATTTGAATCTCAATCCTATCTGGGGCACTTTACCGCAGAGACACAGAGAACGCAGAGAAATCTAGAAAGGATAGGACTTACGCAGTTGAACGTTCAAAGTCTTGTGCTGCGTTGAACCGCACCCCCTCTAACTCCCCCGCAAGCAGGGGAGAACCCGTAGTTCGACGATCACCTCGATGCCCGATGAATCGGGCAACTACAATCTGAAGTGCGTAACTCCTAAAGGAATTGAAAAATAATGTTGAAAATAGTTCTTTCGTTTTTCCTGTTTTTCTCTGTGCCCTCCGCACCTCGGTGGTTAAATTTAAATAAAAATATGCAACGACCTGTTATATACGCAAATTGGCAGATCTATAAGTGAATTTTAGGTAATGTAGAAATTTTGTTGTATTTTTAGGAAATCTGCTCTATAATTTCGGAAGATTGCTGCTCTAACAGTTTAATATAAAGGGAGGGGAAACAGATGGCTAGGAAAAATCGAGAAGTTATTTCGTGCACCTTACGGTGTACCCAACGGCTTGCAAGTAACAGATGAGGGTCTGTGGATCGTAGACCAAATCACCGATCGGGTGGCGTTGGTAGAAATTACCGAGGCATCAGCTTACGGGGTGACTAAACTGATTCGGGATGTTCCGAGCGACTGCTCTAACACCAGCGGAATGGCTTATGGTGATGGGGCACTCTGGCTAGCGGCGAACGGTGCTGGAGAGCAATGGCGTCCAACGCGACCAAACGATGCGAAATCGGGGATGGGAGAAATTATTAAAACCGATCCACACACCGGAGAATGCCTAGGTCGGTATCCGATACCGGATGGCGGTGGCACACACGGCGTGGAGTACGATCATTATGAAGAAGGGTATCTCTGGGTCCAAACGCTGAAGAACCAGATTATGCACAAGATGCGGATTTCGGACTGGTCTGTGCAGCACTCGATTCCGCTGCCGTACGGACGGGGACACGGTGTCGTGCGGGTGGAGGATGGCGTTTGGGTCGTGCACACCTCTGACCGGGGTAATCGTCAAACTCGACTTGGAGAGCGGCGCGGAACTGGATCGGATTGAGGTACCAGAGGATGATCCTGAGCCACACGGCCTGTCAATCTTCGGGGATGATTTCCTCTACTGCGATGCCACCTCCGGCTGGATAACAAAGATTACGGTATAGGGACTGGCTAAGGCTCTGACGGATTTATGTTAAATCGTATCTTCGATCCCTACCAGACACGCCTCCAGATCTACCAATGCCCGTTCTGCATAGGCGGCAGCGCGTTTCCGTTTATTGAGCCGTTCAGTTGTGCCCAAGGGGGGTAAGATCCCGAAATTCGCCTTCATCGGTTGAAAATCAGCAGGACTAACGCGTGGGTCACATAATGGCACAGAGAACCGAGGATAGTGGTGGGCGGCAGAGAGAATGGGGCTTGACCATGTAGGAGGCGTGCGGCATTCCAGCCGGCGAGCAAACCCGTTGCGATGTTGCCCATGTAGCTTTCAACGCCCGTAATCTGACCTGCAAAAAAGAGATTTTCTCGCCCACGGAACTGTAGCGTGGGACATAATAGTGTCGGTGCATCAATAAAGGTGTTGCGGTGCATCTGTCCATAGCGCACGAACTCAGCTTTTTCAAGCCCAGGAATCATGCGGAAAACTCGCTTCTGTTCAGGAAACTTTAGGTTCGTTTGAAAACCGACCATGTTAAAGAGCGTGCCGGCAAGGTTGTCTTGGCGCAGTTGTACTACCGCGTAAGGACGCCGCCCGGTACGCGGGTCGGTCAACCCCACCGGACGCATCGGACCAAAAGCCAAGCTCTCATGACCGCGACCTGCTAAAATTTCAACAGGTAAACACCCTTCAAAGAATTGATGCCAACCCGCCTTGACCCCCTGCTCTAATTCCTGCTCGAAAGATTCCAACTTAATCCGCTCAGCACCGATTAACGCAGCGACGAAGGCATCATATTCATCACGGTTCATCGGACAGTTGATGTAATCACCCTCCACCTGTTCGCCATGCCCATAACGTGAAGCGCGGAAGGCTACCTCAATATTGATTGACTCTAGGCTCACAATCGGCGCAATGGCGTCGAAGAAGTAAAGGTGTTCCTGTCCGCTCAAAGCAGCAATGGCATTTGAGAGACTTGGCGAGGTCAGTGGGCCGGAAGCAATGATAGTAGGTTCGTCAGGGAGGGTAGTAACCTCTTTTCGCACCACTTCAATTTTGGGGTGATTCGAGATTCGCGTCGTTATGAGCTGCGCGAAAGCCTCACGGTCTACCGCCAGCGCACTCCCCGCAGGCAACGCCGTTTTATAGGCACACTCCAGTAGCATCGATCCCAGCCGGCGCAATTCTGCCTTGAGAGTGCCGGAGGCACGGTCTGGAAGATCAGATCCGAGCGAGTTGGAACAGACCAACTCCGCAAGATTAGGGGTAAGATGGGCACCTGTCGGCGGTGGAATGGACGCATCTCGTAAAGATATACTTGGATGCCGCGTTCAGCCGCTTGCCACGCCGCTTCGCTGCCGGCTAACCACCACCGCCGATGATATAGATCTTTCATAAGTGTCAGGCGTAAGAGTCGTCAAACAAATCCCGATTGTGAGGTGTTTGTATCGATTCTAAAAAGGTCTACCCATACGATTGAGTGCGCTGGCACCTCATTCTTGACAGTTTGATAGTTTCAAATAAGCCCCATAGCTGAGGTCTTCATCATTCATGTTTGCGTAAGCGTTCTTATCGGCATCGGTGGCAAGAGCTTTCGATGCTCGTATCACCTGATGGTGCCCGGTTCGCATCGTGTCAACGAACATTTTTTCGTCCACTCACCGATGCCCGTCTCTTTATCAGGCGTTAAGTTTGCGGCAAACGTTGTGCCAAAGGGCATCGAAAATGCGGCACGGGTCGGTGCAGTAACCATAAAAAATTCCACAGTTGCATCATGCTCATATCGAATTTGGGATATGGGCATTCGCAGGATGACCCGCGAGGTACATACTCATATCCATCTCCGCACCTTTGCGCGGCGTATGACACTGACCACAAGCTCCAGCTGCATCAACGAGGTATTTCCGCGTTTGACTAATCACTCTGGCTTTCGGCGTAGCTTAAGCAGAGCAATACAAATATCAATGTCGAAAAATGTCATTCCGAAAAATCCAGTATTTTCTCCTCATTGTATAAATCTCCTTCGGATTTTGATAGGGTAAGAGTAGGTATATTATATCGCTGCGCGTCTGCGTTTGCGGTTTGAAGAATTTGTGGGTGATTTATGTGTACGTTACGTGAATCCTGCTTTTCACGTTTTACTTTTCGTGCTTCCGTTTCGTTCCTCTCTAGTTCTGTCCAGCTGACTCAACCCCCCAATATCCTCCTTCAGACGGGCAAATGTGCCTTCCAAATCGCTTGCCGGACACCTCGCATCAGGCTCAGGTAGAAATGCAAATTGTGAAGCGTGAGCAGCCGATGCGCGAGGATCTCGTTTTCTAGGTGTAAGTGTCGGAGATAAGCGCGTGTAAAATTCTGGCAGGTGTGGCAAATGCAGTTCGGATCCAGCGGTGTAAAATCTGCCTTGTACTTCGCGTTACGGATTTTAACTGTACCAAGCGTCGTAAGAGCGAACCGTTTCGTGCGTTGCGCGTTGGCATCACGCAATCGAACATATCCACCCCGCAGCTTATACCGTAGACCAAATCCTCCGGCGTTCCGACACCCATCAGATAATGCGGCGAATCTTCCGGCAACAATGCGCGGTGTAGGCTAATGTTTTCATACATCAAGGGTTTCTCCTCCCCACACTGAGTCCACCGATCGCATAGGCCGGGGAGCCAATTCCACAGGTCTTTTCCACAACTAATCTTTCGCCAGCGATTTTTCCATCCCGCCTGTACAATACCGAACAACTGCTTGATTGGGTTCCGTGCGCCTGCTTGCAGCGTTCCGCCCCAACGGAGTGTCATTTCCATCGATTGCTTGAGATAATCATATCGCTAGGCAGTGGAGGGCATTCATCAAAGGTCATGATGATGTCCGCACCGAGTGGCGTTTGGGATTTCAATGACGCTCCGGGCTGATAAAGTGTTTCAGACCCGTCAATCTCATAGACGGATCAACCCCGTCCTCCGTGATTGTGCGAAGCGGGTCCCAAGCTGAAGGACTGAAACCCACCGTGTCGGTGAGACGGGTTTCTTCCACGCCATAAATTTGTGCAACCCGCCCGCCTGTTCGACGATTCGGTGCCCCGACGCGGACGCAGATAGAGGTGGTAGTATTCCCAGGATATCTCTGTCCCCAATTTCAAACCAGATCGTGGGGGGTGCACGTTTGACACGTACCACCGTGTGCCAACAGGCATAAAGATAGGGGTATTGATAACGCCGTGCGCTGTTCGGAGTTTTCCTATTCGGGCTGCGTCTGAGAATCTGTGTGGATAAGTGTGAATTTGTTGTCGTCTGTCATAAGTTAGAATTCTATTTTAATAAAATCAAGTGCTTCGGATCGGTTCGCACCAAAACGGACATAGACGCCACGAAAGTTTTCAAGTCGAGAGGGCTTGGCGAATGGACTCAATAGCACACCGTTATGTCAACGCTAGAGCTGCGAAAAGCACTCCAAGGCTTTGTTAGGCGATAAAATGGTGCCGTGACCACAAGTTCATGCTCGTATAGCTCATACCTGAACGGAACAAAATAGCGATATAAAGAACTAGTCACAAAAATGTTGAAGGAGGGCAACAAAAACCGACTGGAAAAGCCAGTAAACACCTGAGAAAAGGAGGAGGAGAAAAAGTAAGAGAAGGGTTGATTGCATCCAGCTTTCACGCAAGGATGAACCCTCCAAGTTTGTTGAGGGATAGGCTGATGCGGACATCGGTTGGCTCGCAGCACGAGGAGAATTTAGTATGGAGTGTTGAATGCGCCATCTGTGTTAAAAATACCGATGATTGCTTTACGGTAATTCAGGAGTGCACTTCCCAGTGTCTCAGAATCAGGACAAGTGAAAGATAAGGGCAAGTATACTCATGTAGATTCCAATCTACGTCCCACGTAAGTATACCTGCCGGTGTTTAACCACGCATGTCACCTTTCTACTTCCAACACCTTCTCCAACATCGTCTGTGCTATCATGACGAGCAGTTTTAGTTTTCCTTCGCTCGGTCGGTGTCAGATGCTGAACCGCTTCCGAACTTTCCGCTGTTTCATCCGCAGAGTAATGGTAACTTCGGACTGCGCTGCTCCCCCCTGAAGCGTTTTAATTCGCCGCGCGTCGTTTCACCGTAGAAGCGCATCAGAAACAGTGCCAATCACCATGAATCCGATAGCGAGCCACGTTGTGACCTGGAGAGGAAGGTTGCGGCACCTTGTCCCCTCCTAAAAACGGATTGCATGCATGCCGCCCGCTCCACCAAATGCGCTTGATGAAGCCCTCTCCTTTGCTATCTTGCAACAGGATGATAATGGGCAGTAAGATACATGCGGGTACAAAAAGAACAAGAATAAAACCAACGACAATTCCCATGTTAATTCCTCACTTTCATATTAATTTTAATTGATTGAATAAGCATCAGCACACAACTTTGACGATTTGGGCAAACGATTCCGCTTCCCAGCTCGCCGTGCCGACCAATGCACCATCCACATCGGGCTGCGCGATCAACGCAGCAGCGTTGTCCGGCTTGACACTTCCACCATACTGAATCCGGACCTGCGATGCCACATCAGGCGAGTAGATTTCTGATAAGAGCGATCTGATAAGGGCGTGAACTTCCTGGGCTTGGTCTGGAGTTGCATTGTGTCCTGTCCCGATTGCCCAGACAGGTTCATAAGCGATGACTGTAGAGGTAATCTGATCTGCGGATAACCCAACGATTCCGTTGAGAACGTGGTCCTTGACCACTGCTCCGGTTTTGCCAGTCCTCTCGCTCCTCAAGGCTTTCGCCTGCACAGATTATCGGTATCAAGCCGTGTGCGTGTGCTGCCTTCGCCTTGCGGTTGACGTTTTCATTTGTCTCACTGAAATATTGTCGGCGTTCGGAGTGACCAATGATCACGTAGTCGCAACCAACATCCTTGAGCATCCCCGGCGACACTTCCCCCGTGAATGCGCCGCTGTCTTCCCAAAAGACATCCTGTGCTGCGAGTCGAATATCTCCACCTGCTAGTGCCTGTGCTACTGCGGAAAGCCCAGTGAAAACAGGGGCAACAACGATTTCGACATCAGTGACATCAGCGACCAATGTCTGAAGTGAGGTGACAAGTGCCGCCGCTTCACGGACGGTCTTGTTGAGTTTCCAATTACCGACAAATGATTGGTGTTCGCATCTTCTCCTATATATGAGCTACATGATAGAAATTGGAAATTTTTGTATCTTTTCTGGTGTACTGTCTAGCTTTCTATTTGTCAACCCGGCTCGGCTCCGACTTCGCCGAGAGTTCAAAGCAACCCCGATAAGATCGGGGATTCAGAGCAACTTGGATAGACATATCCAAGCCATCTTGAGGGAGGTGCAATGGATTTGCCAAACCACTGCGAGCAGTGGTTTGCGCGTTTTGGTTCCCATTGACCCAAATTTTGACTCACCCTATAAGTGGCAACCTGCGCCTATTATAACACACTTGCAGCCAATTCAACCAAACGGTTTGAGTATCCCCATTCGTTATCGTACCAAGAGAGAACTTTTACCAATTTGCCATCGATCACCCTTGTAAACTCCGCATCGAAGATTGACGAATGCGGGTTCCCCTTGAAGTCAACCGATACGAGCGGCAGTTCTGAATAACTTAGAATTCCTCGTTGCTCTCCCTCTGCAGCTTTTTTCACAACCGCATTAACCTCTTCTACACTTGCTTTCTTTTCTAAATCAACGGTGAGATCCACTACAGAAACGTTCGGCGTTGGAACCCGAATCGCCATCCCATCAAATTTGCCCTTAAGCTCAGGAATGACCAACGAAATCGCGCTTGCCGCGCCTGTGGACGTCGGAATCATTGAAAGTGCAGCCGCACGGCCCCGGCGTATATCCTTATGCGGCAGATCCAGAACTTGCTGATCATTTGTATACGAATGGATAGTTGTCATCAGACCGCTACGGATACCGAAGTTTTCTAACAGCACCTTTGCAAGCGGCGCAAGACAGTTTGTTGTACAGGAAGCGTTAGAGATAATATGATGTTTCTCTTTATCGTATTTATCCTCGTTGACCCCCAGCACGATAGTGATATCTTCATTCTCGGCGGGTGCGGAGATAATCACCTTTTTCGCCCCCGCGTCCAGATGCTTGGATGCATCCTTCCCATCTGTAAAAAAGCCTGTCGATTCAATAACAACATCAATTCCTAAAGTGTTCCAAGGGAGCGCAGTTGGATCTCGTTCAGAAAAGACGACTATCTTTTTACCATTGACAATAAGTCCGTTATTTGTTGGTTGGACATCAGCATCAAGTTCCCCAAGCACCGAATCGTATTTGAGCAGGTGCGCAAGTGTTTCTGAGTCTGTTAAATCATTAATTGCCACAAAATCGAGAGTTATATCTTTATTTTTTAGTGCGGCTCTTAATGCGTTGCGTCCAATTCGACCAAAGCCATTAATTCCAACTCTTGGCATATGCAGTCATCCTCCATATTCTTAGCACAAGCCTAAAATTATTCCACACAAACCCTCAATTCGTCAAGTCTCAAATTTTGAACACCTATTCCTTATTCCATTTCATGGAACGAACTTAATCGTCATGCAGATTCTGGAATCAAGCGCAGCAAGGCGTTTTCCCACTTAATTACCTCAAAAAAGACTTGCATTAAGGACGGAATCTTGTTTATAATGTTATAACAGTAGGGTAAATATAAAACCTCCCAACTTTGAAGTCAACAAACTGAGGTAAATTCTAATGCGAGTTGGCATGAAATACGGACGAGATTTGCTGGAAGTGGAAATCCCTGACCAGAATTTGGCAGGTGTGCTGACCCTCCAGAAATCTGTCCCAATCGAGCAGCCAGAGCGTGCAGTTTGGGACGCGATCGAGTCTCCAATTCACTCCGCGCCACTAGTTACGTTGGCGAAGGATCGGACTTCCGCCTGCGTTGTCATTTCCGACGTCACACGCCCCGTTCCCAATAAGCTAATCCTCCCGCCAATTTTACAAACCCTGGAATCCAGTGGTATTCCGCGTGAAGAAATTACGATTCTGATTGCAACAGGTATCCACCGTCCCAATGAGGGTAAAGAGCTCGAAGAGATGGTTGGCACGGAGATTATGAATAACTATCGGATTGTCAACCATTTTTCACAGGAAATCGAGACGCATAAATATCTCGGTTTAACGCAGGGGGGGTGCCCCGGCTTATATTGATAAAACCTATCTGGGATCGGACTTGAAGGTCACGACGGCTCTGATTGAGCCCCACCTGATGGCAGGATATTCCGGCGGACGCAAATCAATCTGCCCAGGACTGGCTTCCATCGAGACGATGAAGGTGCTGCATGGACCCCATGTCCTTGAACACCCCAAGGCTTCGGTCGGCAACCTTGAAGGCAATCCACTTCATATCGAAGCCACCGAGATTGCCTTGATGGCGGGCGTAGATTTTAACGTGAATGTCACAATCGATGACCAACGTAGACTAACCGGTATATTTGCTGGCGATATCGTCGAATCTCATTTGGCAGGCGTCAGGTTCGTCGAAAAACAGGTGAAGGTAACATTGCCAAAGCCTGTGGACGCTGTGCTTGTGTCAAGCGCAGGTTATCCGCTTGATACCACGTTTTATCAAGCCGTCAAAGGAATACTAGCAGCGGTGGAAATCGTTAAACCGAATGGGAGCATTATTCTGGTTGCGGAATGCAGCCAAGGAATTGGGAGCGGACCTTTCACCGATTTGATTTTAAAAACGAAAGACCTAAAACAGTTTATTCACGATATTCACGACCCGGCAAACTTTGTCATCGACCAGTGGCAATTGGAGGAGTTGGCAAAAGCTGCCAACAAAGCCGAAATATACTGCTATGCTGATGGCATACCGTATGACCAACTGAAAGACCTATTTGTGCAGCCAATCCGAACTCCTGCAGAAGGGATCGAGTGCGTCCTTTCCAAACATGGATCCGATGCCCAAATTGCTGTGCTTCCTGACGGTCCCTATGTTTTAGCGAAAGTTGAAAACTAGGCTCTAGGACAACTATTCCATAAGAGGAGTGAAATGCAGAACGAATCACATCCAACCGTTGAACTCAAGGGCTTCCGCGATGGTATGCGCCTGATCATCGATCCAGAAGCCACGATAGAGCAGATTGAACAAGCGATCGCAGAACGAATGGCAAACTTAGGGGATTCGTTATCAGGCATGACAATGAATATGGATCTCGGAAGTCGATCATTAAATGATGAAGAATTAGTCCGCCTTAAAAACTTATTAAACGAAAGCTATGGACTTGAAATTAAGCAAATCATTGGTGATGCCCAAGATGACCCAAGGAGAACTGAAGCACGCCAGATTGCAGGAGTACCTGCACTCCACGGAGAAGAACGCGTTTATAATCAACTTGCTCCGATGAATGAAGAAACACGGTTTATTCGTCACACATTGCGTTCTGGACAGATCGAGCGTGCTTTAGAAGGAAATATGGTCATCTTAGGCGATGTGAATCCGGGAGCGGAAGTGGTCGCCGCAGGAGATATTATTGTCCTTGGCACGTTACGCGGAGTTGCTCATGCAGGTGCGCTTGGTAATACATCATCGGTAATTTTTGCGCTGAATCTGTTGCCAACTCAGTTAAGAATTGGGCGTTTTATCACCCGTGCACCTGCTGAACAACAACGCCAACACCAGAGAGCAGAAGTTGCACGCGTCCTAGAAGATGCCATTATCGTCGAAGAATACGATTGACTCCAGCCCGGATTAGAAAAATACAAACGGGTATAGACTCCTCTCACCGTCTTCAAATTTTGTCAATTTCCGAATCATAATAAAACATTATCGCTCACCAGCGGATTGTCTTTGGATGTCGAGGCTATAGCCGGCTGGTGGTTAGGAGCGATTACCATCGAAAGCGAAGACATCCCAGGTGATAAGTGTTTGGACGTGGTTGCTAGTCAGAATGGGTACGATATTAAAATCTTTATGAGGGAAGGATAACCAGAAAAATGGGAAAAGCGATCGTCGTTACGTCTGGTAAAGGCGGGGTCGGTAAAAGTACTTCCACGGCGAATCTTGGAACGGCCTTAGCTGTGTTGGGTAAGAAGGTCGTTGTCGTCGATGCGGATGTGGGATTGAGAAATCTTGATGTTATTATGGGGCTGGAAAGCCGCGTTGTATACACATCAATGGATGTCTTTCAAGGTGTTTGTGAACTCGAACAAGCATTGGTTAAAGATCGAAGGACGAAAGATCTCTATCTCCTTGCGGCCTCGCAGAGAAATAACAAAAGCGATATTCAGCCGGAACAGATGAAAAAACTCTGCCTAGAACTGAAAGAGACGCACGACTACGTTTTGGTCGATTCACCTGCCGGCATTGAGCAGGGGTTTCAAAACGCAGCTGCGGGGGCTGATGAGGCACTGATTGTGACAACGCCAGAGGTCGCAGCGGTCAGGGATGCGGATCGAATCATCGGTTTGCTGCAGAACATGACCATTAATAACTTGCATCTCGTCATCAATCGACTTGCACCGGAGATGGTCAAGGCAGGCGATATGATGGGACCGACGGATGTCATAGACATTTTGTCAGTCAATCTGATCGGCGTCATCCCAGAGGATAAGGAAATTCTTATTTCAACGAACCGAGGTATGCCGTCAACCTACAATCATAAGTCTGATGCCGGACAGGCTTACAAACGTATCGCACTAAGGCTTGAAGGGGAAGATGTTCCAATCCCAGAGTTTAAGGCGGGGGGTTTGTTCGGTAACTGGTTTGGGAAACTGTTTAATAGTTAAAAGGAGAAGATAGATGTTCAAACGATTAATGCAGTTACTAAATCGGAAGCAGAAGAGCAAAAGTGTTGCGAAAAGTCGGCTACAACTCATCCTCGTCCAAGATCGAACTGGAATTGATGAAGATATAATGGAGAGCTTGCAAGCAGAATTGACTGAAGTCCTGTCGAAGTATTTTATACTCGAGCGTGAGCAGGTCGAAATGGAGATTGAGCGTGAGCAAGACTCTATGGCACTTGTTGCAAATATCCCAGTCCTCGGAACGAAGGTCCGCCATCCCGTACAGGCGTAAGTTAATGCGAGTCTGACCACCTTCAAAGCAGCAGATGCTCGACCGCTAGGGCGACGCCATCGTTCTGGTTGGTGTCCGTCGTGTAATCAGCGATAGCTTTAATTTGATCGACGGAATTTCCCATAGCCACACTGAAACCGGCTATTTCCATCATGCTCTCGTCGTTGTATCCATCGCCAAATGTAACAATCCGATTGTTGGGGATGCCAAGTTGGTCAGCGAGTGCTTGCAACGCTCGCCCTTTAGATACCTGTGGATTCATAAACTCGATATATTCGACCTGTGTCCGCGTAACATACAACCGCTCGCCAAATTCGGTTTTGCATTCAGTGAGGAGCAGATCGATTTTTTCAGGCGTATCTAAAATCTGCATCTTCGTGGGTTCTTGCCCATCTAACTCGTGAAGATTGCCGAGTGCCGTTGCCGAAACCCCCGTTCTCTTTTCATATAATTCACTCCACTGATTATATTCCTTGATGAATAGTTGATCATTCAAACAGAAGTTAAGATGTAGTCCCTTCTGATCTCCGTATTCCACCAACGCCGTTGCATCCGCCGCCTGAATGGGAGTGTGGTAAATAACTTCCCCTGTTCGGGGGTGTTTGACCATCCCACCGTTGTATGAAATTATCGGATTTTCCAACCCAATCTGATCACTAATCGGCAAGATGGCTCGATGCATCCTCCCTGAAATCAATACGACCACAACCCCTTGCGCCGATAATTTTTGGAGGGCTTCGCAGCTTCGATCTGTCACAACGTGCTCATCATTTAGTAGCGTCCCATCTAAATCCAACGCCGCCAAACGGCACGGCACATTTGCCATATTTTTCTCCTTTTTGACTCCGGTTTTCCTCCGGGTAGTTCAATATCTGTTTTTCATTCTCGCTGATGTCAACTTTTCCAGAGTGCGGACAATTACCACCGTGTCCTGATAGGGACCAATGAGCTGCCAACTTGCAGCAACAGTTTCAACGACTGGATCCGATTCCAGATAGTCCGCGATGTAGTCGATATAGTGTTGGAACGCTGCTGCCTGGATCTCTGCCTCACCATAAGGACAGATCATGTCAACGCCCAGCACAACTTGTGTTTGTTCTTGATTGTACATCAGGGCGAAAGGATATATCTGGCAGTCCAGCGGACGAATTGAGTAGATTGTGCACTCACTCGTTTCAGGATTAAAGCAGGGACAGATGTACATATCCCCATGCGGTATCAGTTTAATCTGCGCGCTTTTCCCATCTGGCGTGGGGCGAAAGAGATTCGCATCCACCCCGCTCGCAATTGCCTTTTCCATTTCAGCTTGGGTAAAGATAGGAGCAAGGAAGCTGTCTTGGTCGAGGAATCGGCAGCAAACATCGCATGAAAAACAGACCTTGCTAGGTACAATTTGTTCAAGTTGAATCAACTGATTCATCTTTGTTCCCCATCTGGATGAAATAAACTCTCAACTGCCGGAGACGAGAAATCTCGTTCCGTCCATTCTTCCGGAGCGACTGCCACCCCATTGACCACCATACCCCAATGAAGGTGGGATCCCGTGGCTTGTCCGGTCGCTCCCATCAGTCCGATGCGTTGCCCCTTTTCAACACGCTCTCCAGTCTTCACATGAATCTCACTGAGATGGTTATAACTGCTCGAAATCCCCTGTCCATGATTGATAATTACGGCGTTTCCGTAGATATGCAATCTGTCAGCAAGGGTAACAATGCCACGGTTCGACGCATAGATAGGCGTGCCCACCACATTTGCGATGTCCGTGCCGTAGTGATGCCGACGGACGCCGGTGTTATATTCAGCGGTACTTTGCCGAAAGGCGACGTTAGCTGACCCTCCGTGGGATGAATGAACTTCCCTTCCCAAAAGCGGCTTGACTTCCCGGTCTGCCTGTGCGTAAGCTGCACCGCGTTTTGCATTGTCTTCTCTGCTTTTGGGTCTGTCCATCATAATCCGTTGTTTTTGGGGGGAGAGAGTAATGTAGCCGCCACGCGCAAAGGTTGTTTTAGTTACCTCGACCTGAAAAGTTTGCTCCGTCTTATTGCCAACCAGATCTGTTGCCCTCATTGTGAGTGAGTAGTTCTGGGGAGAGGCTGTCACGCCGACACCAAGAAAACTATGGTACAGGTTCTCTGAACGAGTCGGATAGAAGGTAACCGCTTTATTAAAAAGCTTTCCCTCAATATCTGAGAGCGACTCATCCGCCTGAAGAAAGAGTGCGAGTGTTCTGCCTTGTCCAACGCGAAGTGTTTCCGGGGGGACATGAAGCGTTGGCGGGGTGTTATCGATGTAAAACGGAAGCGTGTACTGCGTCTGATTTTTGCGCAACGACCTATCCGTCGCTGTTACGGAAACCGTGTGCGGCCCGTCGGCGAATGCGGCGGTTTGTAGTGTCCAAGAGGTTATCTCCGCTTCGACGAGGCTCAAAGGGTTTGGGGGAGCATCATCAATCTGCACGGTCAGCGAACCCAAGCCGGGCTTTTCGTCCATAGCGGCAATGTCGAGCGTCAGAGCGCCGCGATAGCGTTTATCCTGCTCTAACCCATTTACCGTCAGGGACGGTGGCGTGGAATCTAACAAATTGGGACCAACGTAGAGTCCGAGTCCTATCAACAGAATGATAACTAGAACGGAGATCAGTATAGGGAATTTTCGAGTGCGGTCGTTTGCGGCAGGGGCTTTCATAGGGGGTTCTTAGCAACGCTTCTCACAAATTATTTCACTTAATAACTCTCTCGCTTCGCCCAACGCCTTCGCACGGTGGCTAATCTGATTCTTAATCTCGTCGCCCAATTCTGCAAAGGTTTTGTCATAACCCACGGGGACGAAAACTGGATCATATCCAAAACCGCTCACCCCACGCGGTGCGCGAATAATTCGGCCCTCACAGGCAGCTCGGACAACCTGTACTTGAGCTAGCGGTTCAGCAATAGCCACAGCACAGATAAAACGTCCTGATCGCCGTTCATTAGGAACATTCTGAAGCGTGTCAAGTAGTTTGACAATACGATCTTGGTCTGAAGCATTCTCGCCGGCATAGCGTGCGGAATGGACACCGGGTGCTCCATCAAGTGCGTCCACCTCTAAACCGGAGTCGTCCGCGATGGTTATATGTCCGGTGTATTCGACAAGCATGGAGGCTTTTTTGATAGCGTTCTCCTCATAGGTTCTGCCATCCTCAACGACATCTGGTGCGTCCGGGTAACTGTGGAGCGACAAAAGTTCAATCCCGTTTTGGGCTTTAAGCATTTCGCCGATTTCTCGCACTTTACCTTGATTCCGGGTTGCCAATACTAACTTCATCTCTATTCTCTATAATTATCTGTTTTTGAAGCCGAATCAGTTGTTCAATGCCGTGGATCGACAGATCGAGTAGCTGATCCGATTCCTCTTTCGAGAAGGGGGTTTCCTCCGCAGTGCCTTGGATTTCGACAAATTTCCCTGCACCTGTCATGACAACATTCATATCGACATCAGCACTAGAATCTTCCGTGTAACACAGGTCTAGCATAGGTGTTCCATCAATAATGCCGACACTGGTCGCCGCCACATGCTCGACGATTGGGATCGTTCTTATCAGCTTTCGATCCATCAGCCATTGACAGGCATCCCAAAGCGCGATAAATGCGCCGGTAATTGATGCGGTGCGTGTACCACCATCCGCTTGGATAACGTCACAATCGATCCAGATTGTTCGTTCACCGAGGGCTTTGAAATCTACGACTGCTCGCAAAGATCTACCGATAAGCCGTTGAATCTCTTGTGTTCTTCCGCCAAGCGATCCACGGGGTGACTTCACGCCGCATCCGGTCGGAGGTGGAGCGGGGCAGCATTGAATACTCTGCGGTGACCCAGCCTCGATTTCGGAGGTTTTGCTCACGCATGAAACGTGGTTGTGATTCCTCTACCGATGCCGTACAAAGAACTTTTGTATCACCGACAGCAATCAAGACAGATCCTTCTGGGTGTTTAATGTAATTCCGAACGATGCGGGTCGGGCGCATCTGACTCGGTGTGCGCCCATCTTCTCTTACCATTTTAGTACCTCTTTTTAATCGTGATGACGGTGCAGGTGGTCAATGTGATTTTGGTTAAGTTTGCTCATTTCACTTTGCACATCAGAAAGCCGCTGACTCGTCTCCAATCGGAGATCATGGATCTCTTCTCGGACACCTGTGATTTGTTGATCCATCTCTGATCTGACATCACGGACTTCAGTGCGGACTAATGCGACTTGCTCATTTACTTGTGAAATGACTTCAATGAAACGCTTGTCCAGCCAATCTTCCAACCGGTCCAGCCGATCTTCCAACCGTTCGGTTATCGTTTTCAGCCGCGCCAGAACCGCGATGGCTTGCCCAATAATCGTAGCAAAGGCAAGCAATGCCACAATCAAATGCGACGGTGACCATGCAGAAAAAATCCATAGTGTTATCTCCTTCTTTCAAAATGTCGTCGTGTGTTTTCAATCGCTTCTGCTTTAGCAGCATCTACGTTGGAATGGTCAAAATCGCCTATTGCTTCATATGTTATACCATAGTAAAACACTCCGCGCTGCCAATACGCCTTATACGGTGTCAATCCGAATCAGGGACGAAATCGTCCTTCAAAAAATCGAGTGCTTTGGTATAACTTCGGCGTTGTAGATAGTGGCGTAGCGAGGGCGGGACAGTCGCTCCAATCTCCTGTTGGAGCCGCTCAATCTGCTCAAGGTCTTCGATTATACTCTCTTTTTGGGCAATGTGCGCAAACATTGATTCTAGAGACGTTTTCAGAGTTGTTGCTTGTTCTGTTGTCATGGGGACTCTCCTATTATTATATGGGCGTAGCGGAGGATAAGTTCTGTGCTTCAGTTTATCATCCTTCCGCCCTGATGTCAAACCCTTATGGCTCCCGATTCACGTAAATCCGAGAGATCCGTTTTCCTATTCCCGTCAAAATCTCATACGAGATGGTTCCCGCCTTTTCTGCAACCTGATCGACGGTAATCTCCAAGTCTCCCTGCTTCCAATCAATACTGCCTCATCGCCGATGCGTAGGGGGAGATCTGCCTGTTCCCCTTTCGGCGGTGCAATCCGAAAGACGGTCCCATCCATGCAAACCGCTCCGACCTGTTGACACTTTGCCTGCCGATCAACGCTTCACCGCGATTCGATAGGGCGCGTGAATAGCCATCGGCGTAGCCAACAGGCAGCGTTGCTAACCATGTCGGCTTATCAACTATATAGGTGCGACCATAGCTGACCCCTTCCCCTTGCATAGACTGACGCAAACAGATGAGGCGTGCTTTCCAACTCAGGGCAGGACGCAAGGACACAGGACTCGCTCGTCTGACTTCAGACGATGGATAGACGCCGTATAAACTCAAGCCCACACGAACTGTGTCAAAATGGGAGTCGGAAAGGGTTAATGCAGCTGCGCTGTTGGCAGCATGGACAATCGGGGGACGTAGGTTGAGTTCAGAAAGGTTGGAAAGCACTGACTTAAACCGCTCTAACTGAAGATGCACGTGGCTTTTGTCGGGTTGGTCCGCAGTAGCAAAGTGGGTGAAGACCCCTTCAATCTCTATTCCATCCAGTGATGTCAGCCATTTCAGGAAATCCACCGCTTCCGTATACCATATCCCACCACGATTCATGCCGGTGTCCACGTCAAGGTGCACTTTAACCGATGTTCCCTTCGCTTGCGCTGTACGGGATAACGTGTTACAAAGCGTCGGTTCGTACACCGATGGCGTCAGTTGATAGTCAATAATCATTTCCGCTTGAACCGGCAGCGCATTGAACAGCACTAGGACCGGCTTTTCCAACGCCGGCGGTACGCAGCTCACTGCTTCCGCTACGGTAGCACAGCGTACATCGCCGCTTCCTCACACAACGCTTCGGCGACCGGAATCGCACCGTGTCCATACGCATCAGCCTTGATTACAGCGATCAGCGAGCTGCCTTGGGCATACGCTTTGATTGCTTGTGCGTTAGATCGAATTGCAGAGAGGTCTACTTCCACCCATGTTGTCGTTGTCATTTTTGGTTTTCATTTCTTCTTGCGTGTGCTAAAATACGAGAAATGGCAGAGATTAAACTTGAACACATCACAAAACGTTTTGGGGATGTCGTTGCCGTAGACGACGTGAATCTTGAAATCCACGACCAAGAGTTTGTTGTTTTCGTAGGTCCCTCAGGATGTGGAAAAACAACGACGCTTCGAGCCATCGCCGGATTGGAAGCCCCTGATGAGGGGGACATTTTTATTGATGGAAATCGAGTCAATACATTATCGCCCGCCGATCGAGACATCGCGTTTGTCTTCCAATTCTACGCACTCTACCCCCACCTGACCGTTTATGATAACATCGCATTTCCGCTCAAAGCAGTGAAAGCACCGAAATCCGAGATTCAGGAACGGGTCAAGGAGGTTACAGCCATCCTGCAAATTCAGGCGATGCTAGATCGGAAGCCAAGCCATCTGAGCGGCGGCGAGATGCAGCGCGTCGCGTTGGGACGGGCAATGGTCCGCAGACCTAAGGCATTTTTAATGGATGAACCGATGTCGAACCTAGATGCGAAGCTGCGGGTAGACATGCGGACGGAGCTGAAACGCCTGCAGCACAGACTGGGAGCAACGACCATTTTTGTCACCCATGACCAAGTTGAAGCGATGTCGATGGCGGATCGTATCGTCATCATGCACCAAGGAAGCCTACAACAGATTGGAACACCCCAAGAGGTATATAACCAGCCGCAGACCGTTTTTGTTGCCCAATTCATGGGAAGCCCATCAATGAACCTGATCAACGGCAAGGTTCAGGCACAGACCGCTTTGAATCCCAATGTTATCGGGGGAGGAGAACCCGCCCTGCATCTGAACCACACAGATGTCTGGATTGAATTATCGGCAGAACAGATCTCGCGTATCGGTCAGTCAGATGAAATCATCTTTGGTGTTAGACCGGAGCATATTGTCATCTCAAAGGAGCCAATGGAACAAGGTTGCAAAGCATCGGTGCACCTTGTGGAAGCGTTGGGATCGGTTAATATTATTGATATATTTCTGGGTGAAAATCCGGAGACCGGGGATCTGGTTCTCCTCAAAGCCCGTACACACCCCGCATTCAAGCCTGATGTGGGACAGTCCGTTTGGTTTGATTTCGATGCCAAACAGGTTCGTCTATTCGAACCGTCAGACCGAACAAGTCATTGCTTAAAGATTGCCTGATTTATCAAAGAACCTACAGCCACTCACGTTAAAAGATAAACCCCTTTTCGATCGATACGCCCGTCAAATGCCGGCGGAACTGTCGCGTTATACCTTTGCACCACACTATATATGGCGAAACTTTTTCGATTTTTACTGGACAATAATTGATGACCAATTCTGTCTTTTCGCCAATCAGGACGGCGATTACTTCATGCCGATCCCCCCGATGGGGGCGTCGCTGAGTCAAAAGGTGATCTGCCAAGCGTATGCGTTTACCCTTGAAGCCAATCGTGCGAAGCAGATTGCACGGATCGAAAACGTTCCAGCGCATCTTATTCCCTTTTTTCGGGGGATGGGCTTCCATGCCGTCAGAAAGAGACGGAATACCTTTACGAAACGAATGCCCTCTATCCAACTCAAGGGGAATCAGTACAAGAGCAAGCGGGCTGCTTATAACGTTCTGATCCGCAATCATCCTGCCACTCAGTTGCAGCCGTACCAACCCACTCATCTTGGGATTGCCTCGCACTTTATGAATCATGGCAACAGGAACGACAAGCACAGTTCCATGATGATGTTTACCGAGCGATGTTGGAGGATTCTTGGCATTCCCATCGCACAGGACTCATGAACCACGAGGAATTGGGTTTGATCGGTAGGGTCGTTTTCATTGATGGCGTCCTGAAAGGGTATACCTTCGGATATCCTCTCAATAGCGAGATTTTCTGTATCCTCTTTGAGGTAACGGATCTCGGAATAAAGGGGTTAGCACAATTTCTTTTCAGAACGTTTTGCCAAGAACAAGCAGCCTATCAATGGATCAACACAATGGACGACTCCGGCTTAGAAAACCTCAAGCGTGTAAAACTATCGTATCGTCCCGCCAAGCAGCTTTCATCCTACAATCTATTTCTCCCGTAACCGATCAACGATTCAGATAATTTCGTCTGTTCGCAGCCGTTGAATCGGTGATAGTTTTTTGGCTCATGTTAAGAAATCATACAACAGAAACCGAGTTTTGAAGAAAAAACTCGGTTTCTCTTTACGTTTTGCTACAACTCCATGAAATCCGCTTTAATTTTCCTCAACGGGCATTATGACCTCCACTACCCTCAATTCTACAAGGAGGCACTGACGTGGGCGATGGAAAACGGTTATCCACTCATCTGTGCTGACGGCGGGATCCGCTTATTCACCGAACTCAACCAGACCAACGACACGCCAATTTTGCCCGATGTCTTAATCGGCGATCTGGATTCCCTCGATGAGATGCCGGCGGATACCATTGAACAGTTGCAGCGATCTGGGACGCACATCGTCCGTGAGTGGGTTGGGCATGTGGACAAGGATGACACGGACGGGCAGTTGGCGGTCGCCTATGCAATCGCGGAATACGGCTGCCAGAGAATCCTGATCTACGGCGGGCTCCCTCGCCCCAACGGCTACGAAATGGACCACTTTCTTGGCAATCTGCGGCTAATGCGTTACGGACTCCGACTGTTTCAGGAAAGCCCTAACGGGAACGAGCGCGACTGGCAGGCAGAGATGCGTGCTCCACTCCAGACAATTCACTTCGTTGTTTCGGATGTCGCTCTAGAACGTAAAAACGAGGGTGTACAACGGGTATCGCTTATTTCCGATGATCCTAATGTCACCGTTGAAAGCAGCGTAAACCTTCGATGGAGTTTGGACGGTCTGCATGTAGATCCAGTCAGAACAAACGCCTTACGGAACGAGTTTGTGGCAGAAGCAGATCAGGCGACCATGCGCCTTGCGGAAGGGTCGGATCCGGTCTATGTCATCCATAATTGGTACGAATAGCCGCTCGCGCCTTACTGCCCCGTCGACCGGATCTCAACATTATCAAGCCCTTCCGCCAATGGCAAAGGCACCTGTGTCCCTGTCTTGTGCGAAATGTGCATGGCAGTGATGACTTCCAACGCTTTCAGACCGTCCCGTCCGGTTGAGACGCTCTCTCGATCCTCTAGCAGACAATCAACCGCTTCCCGCGCTGCGCTGTAGAAATAGTCGTCGAGGATGAGGGTTTCGGGCATATCGGGAAGGGGCTCAAAGTCGTAGCGCGCACCGTATCCCCCGCTTGCCTCAACAAGGGGACCATACTCCCAGATGCCCCGCAGCTCACAGAAATGGATCTGTCCTGTTGTACCCGCAATGGTGACATCGCTGAGAGATTCTTTGCGCGTCGGATGCAGTTGATGAAGATGACCACGCCGTCCTCGCAGACAATCATCCCTCCGCCGCCCGGATCGGCACGGGCTCATCGCTGAGGAAGCCCGATACTAGCTTGGGTTGCGCCGATGTGAAGTAGAAAGCGTAGTCCACTGTATGCGTACCGTTATGCAACAAAGGACGGGCACCGGAGTAGGTGATGGTTCGGACATCACCCACCGCACCGTCATCAACCATCTTTTTCAGTCTGCGGTAATGCGGGAGGAAGCGGCGTGTGTGATCCACAGCCAACCGACACCCGTTTCGCTTCGCAGGCTTCGACCATCTTCCGTCCCCATTCGACACTGATAGCGAGCGGCTTCTCCACCATAATTACCTTAATGCCCGCCTCTGCAGCTTCGATAACCGGCTCGTGATGATGGAAGTTGTGGGTGGTCACGCTCACGATGTCCAGACCCGCTTTTTCGTACATCTCCTGTGCGGTGCTATAACGGTGCTCCGATGCAATTTCCCACTCGTCGCCGAACTGTTGCAGGCGTTCATTATTAATATCAGCGACAGCTGCCAGCTCAACCTCCTCACACCGCCGATAGCCGCCGGCATGGGAATTGTCCCTTCCCCCAAGCCCCCCGACACCACCGGCACCAACGATGCCAACTCTAATCTTCGCTTTTGACATTGCGATGTTCCTCCTCAGTTGGAATGACGCTATGTATTCGTCTCCTCGGTTATGGGCGGCAGCAACCCGTTCGTCTGCCACGGTTTTCTGTTGCCGTAATAATTTTCTTCGTTTCCCTGTGGAAATGTATTAGGTATCAATAAGGTGTAGACTAGCATGTCTATCAAATTTTTCCCATCGTACAGTCGATGGTACAAACGCGTTTCTTCGAGAAATCCCGCCGTTTTTAACAGCTGTTTTTGCTCATCATCACAAGCAGCGATGTGGACTTGTAGTGCCCTAATCGAGAGAGCCTGCGCTTTTTCTGCGGCAGCGGTTAAAAGTTCAGGCACTTGCCCGAAATAGCTCGGACAGACACGAAAACTGAGTGTAGCGGTATGCTGTTCGTGGAAGGTGTCAAACCGTTTGAACACCGCTGCCCCGACGATCCGTTGTTCGAGGTTTTCTAATACCACAAACGCGCCGTTCTGATCTTCAATTTGTCGCATCAGTCTCACGAAGTGGCTTTCAAAGCGAGTTTCACGGAAGGTTTGAGTGAGGTAGTCCTTGATGAGCCAACGCGGCTCACGGTGATTGTAAAGCACGGATGCGCGAGGCAGATCCGCCCATGTCGCATCTCGGATTCGCGCTGGCCCGTTGAACGCCAGATAGGTCTGATCGAAGTCTCCCGCATCGGGTGCAAGATAGCGCATCCCGTCTCCAACATGATACCAGAACCCATGTTTTTCGTACAGACTGCCGGCGATGGGATTGGTGGTGCAGAGGTAGAGTGCGATCCCGTCATCGGCGCGAAACCGCCGGATTAGGCAGTCCATCAGTGCTGAGGCGATGCCTTTGCTCCTATGCTCCTCCTCTGTACGCACAAACTCCACGACACCGACATCGCGTGTGTCCGTTGGTGTATAATAGCTCATACTGCCGACAACTTCGCCGTCAATCTCGCCCACAAAGTAAGGCGTGAAAAGCCATTCTGTCAACTTGCCGTTGAGTAGGTCGTCGCGTATATCGCCCCAACAGCCCGACTTTGCTGGCGTAGTCATTCAGCGGTGGGAGTAGAGTCTTGATGACAAGTTGCTCACCAGTTCTTAACCGCACTGTTTCTGTTGTCATTGTATATTCCTCGATTCTATCGGTTATCAATGCGTCAGCATTTTAACACGATACGGTCTCTGCGGTCAATCCAGTTTCTCCTCCCAGGATTGACATGACCACCGCCCTGTGATATAAACTTTAAGTATCAACAGGGGAGGGATACGGATGTCTGACGAGATAGTAGTCCGCTTTGCAAGGGTTGATGACTTGGATTTCGCGTATCAGGATGGATACATTACCGCTAAAATATTAAAATCGAAGATTGAAGCGAACTTGCTTTGAATCCTGATTGCATTGAGGATATGGTGATTGCTGAATGGAACGGCAAACGGGTGGGGTATGTGCGGCTTGAGTATTTGTGGTCAATCGTGCCGTATATCGCTCTGATCCGAGTGTTACCCGAATATCGTCGGCAAGGGGTCGGTAAAGCCTTGCTTCGGTTCATCGAAACGTTTCTTCGCAACGCAGGTCACGAGGCACTCTACAGCTCATCGCAAGCGGACGAACCAGAACCTCAAGCGTGGCATCGGCATGTGGGGTTTGAAGAGTGTGGGTTCATCACTGGCATTAATGAAGATATAGGTGAGGTGTTTTTTCGCAAAAGCCTTCGGTAGGTTAAGGCATATTTTGAGAGTGAGGAGATGTTACTGCTTCTCATTTGCAGATTTTTATGGGGCTGTTATTCTTTGTTTACAGAGGTGTGAATATCTGATATAATATGCTATAATGAAAATCTGCCGAACTCAGAATTTGGGACACTAGAATGAGCAGAGGAGGTATATATGGATACTACATGTTTGGATTATTGCCTAACGCATGAGGAACGGCTCCTATTTGACAAGAACGGTTTCTTCGTGGTTGAAGACGCGTTGCCACCGAAACTGGTTGATGACCTCAACGCCGCGCTAGACCGGCTTGAGGCGAAATATCGGCCCGAGCAAGATTTGTCTCCCCATGAACGCTTGAATATCTTTGACTTCATTGGGAAGGATGATCTCTTCCTAGAGTTACTTGATTGGCACAAGACATTTCCAAAGGTGTGGGGTATTTTGGGCTGGCACATCCAGCTTTACCACTCGCACTTGGGAATCACGCCACCAGTAGCACCCGAGGAAAGATCAGAGGAGAAGCGTTTAGGATGGCATCAAGATAGTGGACGTTTGAACAGCGATTTGGAAAGCAACCCCCGTCCGCGAATCTCTCTCAAAATCGGCTACTTTCTAACCGACACAACGGTGGAGGGGAGTGGGAATTTCTATGTCCTGCCCGGCAGCCACTTGCAGAACAAGTTAGAACTGCCTGAAGATGGGGTCTCAAACCCTGAAGGGACGACGGCGGTGAAGGTGGCCCCCGGTACGGCGGTATATTTCGATCGGCGGCTCTGGCACTCTGCGAGCCCCAATCATTCAAATATCACCCGAAAGGTGCTGTTCTACGGTTATAGCTATCGGTGGCTGCGACCAAGAGACAACATGACCGTTGATCATTATATGGAGCGTAGCGACCCGATTCGGCGACAGTTGCTAGGTGCTAGCACGGGGGGATTGGGATACACCTCCCCAAAAGATGAGGACGTGCCCCTCCGAGACTGGATTCAGGAACACCTCGGAGAAGATGCGGTTATGCCTTAGTCCGATTCTTTCCTTTGGTAAAGTAGGGAACAACGATCGAGAGTTGTTCCCTACAACCTTTCCCCACCTCATCACAAGCTACAGCTATTTCTTCCAAGTCATCAACGGTTCAAGCCTTGCGAGAATTTCATCCAAGTATTTCGAGGCGATCTCGTCTAACGGCATATTCCCATTACGCTTGAATGGACAGTCGATAATCCCGCGACGATACAGGACCTCCTTGTAACAGCCGGGGAGTTGATGTTCAAAGAGGAAAAGCGGTGCCATCTCTTTGTAAATGTAGGTTGACCGCTCCTCATCGCCTGCCTCTAAGGCGTCCCATAACCCGACCACGACATCAGTGACATGGCTGGCAGGCATCTGCCCCGCACTCCCGCGCATGTATTCCTCAATCAGATAGCGTCCACCCGCCCCACCGAATACTCCCTTGCACGAACCATCATCTCCTTCGATCACAGCGGTCAGTTTTACCGTGCTGGGCAGCGTCTCTTCCTTGATATATTCGACGTGCTCGATCTCCCGACAGAGTTTGAGCAAACATTCTGCCGATAGATTTGACCCGATAGGTGGCATATTGTTCTGGATGAAAACCGGCATCTGCGCTGCATCTGAGATTATCTGGTAATATTCAAAGACAAGGCTTTCAGAGATATGACTGATGTACGGCGGCATAGCGATGACACCATCTGCGCCAATATCGCGAGCGTGCTTGGCGAATCCTTCCGCGACCTCCTGTGCTACTCCCGCAACACCGATAATGGCTGGCAATTGACCGGCGTTCTGCTTAACAAGCACCTCCGACAACTGCAACCGCTCCGCATCGCTGAGGGCGGTAAACTCACTGGCGTTCACAGGATAAACCAAGCCGTGTGATCCGCACTCGATACAAAAATCGATCATGCGTTGGAAACTGGGGACATCAACCTCTCCGTTCTCTCGGAAGGGTGTAGACGGGATGGTGAATACACCACGATAACTGTCTGGAATCATCAGATTCTCCTTATATTTTGTCAGGAAGTTTATAGGAATTATTCTGTCTAAATGGGTTCTTTTGACCTCAAGTCTATGAATGCCAAATCGCTGCCATATCCCACACATCCATTGACTTTAGTTTTGCAGTTCCACACGGAGCGAAAAGCTGCACGCCTCGGCTATCCTGTCTGGCGGGGTAGATCCGTTTGGTCAGACATTGTCTATTGTTCGCGAAAACCTCGACGACCGAGCGGTCTACGAAAATGCGCAGCTGCAGTAGTTCGTATGCAGCCAATTCGAGAGGTCCCCGCTGCACACCGCGACTCACAACATCGGGGCTTAGACTTGATCGTTCGGCATCCAAGACAAGAGATTTATCCTCCGGACTGTAAAAAATAATGGTCTGCTCGCTGTCGTCTGGGGAGCAGCACACCTTAACGCCAAATGCTTCGGCATCGCCCAGTTCAAAAGTTGCCACGATTTCGAGACAATCTCCATCAACCTCCTCCAGCGGGATGGAAGTATCAGGACGGATTGGTAGATTTGTGAACCGGCGATGGTTGCGGCGCAAGACTGCTAGTTCGGGGACAGGCTCAATTTCTAATGTACCGGCGTCAGACAGGGAGAGGATGCGCGGCAACGACATCACGCCTGCCCAACCGGCTGCCCGTTGCACCGTCTCGCGGCGTCCCTCTGGGATCCAGCCAAAGAAGATGCGCCGGTCCAGCCCGTCTAACAGGGTGAAGCCCGCACAAAGATGTCCGCTCTCAACCCCAAATTCGCCGAAATTCATTCGTCCATGATGCTCCGGATAGAACCGATGATTCGCGTAGGCACCGATATAGTATTGAACGCCACGCTGGTGACTGGCGAAAAGCAGCATATACCTGTCGCCAAGCGGAAAAAAGTCTGGCACCGCACAATCCGATTCGGAATCTTTGTCCAATTCACTAACGTAAAATGGATGCATGTATTCCCAGTTGATGAGATCTTTCGATTGGCATAAAAACGCTGTGTCTCCAACGCCTTCTAGCTTCCCGCCTGAAAGTGAATACCACGTATCCCCTTCTTGCCAAGCGCATGGATCAAACGGTCGCCAACCATCTCCCTCTGACGGATAAGGAATCACTGGGTTTGCGGGGTGCTTTTCCCAAGTAATGAGATCATCATCGCCCACGGCAATGCAATTGCCTTCAGGGTGACCATAGTAGATGAGCGTCGGTACACCGTTGTTGTTCACCGCACCACCACTCCAGCAACCGCGCCGGTCAGGACCACCCGGCGTTGGCGTCAGTGCGATAGGAAGATCATTCCAGTGCACCAAGTTTTCGCTGACAGCATGGCCCCAGTGCATCCGTTTGGAATCATCGAAAGCACCATCAGGATTGTACTGGTAAAAGAGGTGGTACTTTCCCTTCCAGAAGATTGTTCCATTTGGATCGCCCAGATAATTTGCTGGCGGTGAAAAGTGATATAAGGGGCGATACAGGTCGGAAGCCATCTGCTGCCGGGGCGGACGGATCTGTTCAACAGGGTAGTCATTGGGGTAATCTCCGGGTTGGGAGCACAGTTCGTCGGTGGGATTAGCTGTGCGACCACTACCGATTGGTAACGGTCACACGGATTCGCAACATTAGAAACCGCAGGACCATCGTTATGGGTATCTACCCATTCCTACCCTTATGGAGGTCTATTCGTATACTCAATTTAACTGGTGCTATAAGTTGGATCGATACCGTATAGCCGGGGCAGTCCGAGCATAATATTCATGTTTTCAACTGCTTGGCTGGCGGCACCTTTGCCGAGGTTGTCCTCAAGGGAACAGATATAGGCAAATCCTTCATCAACTCTGACTTTGACGAGGAGTTTATGCGTGTCAGCAATATCACGTGTGCCCCACTGTTTATCAGGGGTATCTTCCACAATAAATACCAGATCCTCCGGTTGATAGGCGTTTCGGATGGTCTGACTCAACTGTTCAACGGCTGCTTCCTCAGAGAGGTTTTTCAGCGGTTCTGTCAATTCAACCCTGATGTTCGTGTTAATTCCCCTGAAAACAGATTGGAGAACAATGGGAGTAAAGTTCACACTAAATCCAGAGTATAACTCCATCTCCGGAACGTGCTTGTGCCTTCCACCGTAAGCATACGTGATTTCATTTGGCACCTCTTCAACGTCTTTTCGTGCACCGGAAATTCCCGAAGTTGCTACAATTGTCGCTTCTCCTTGGACAAGCCCCTTAAGCGGTCTTAAAGATAGGATAACGCTTGTCGGGTAACAGCCCGGATTCCCTACTAACCGCGCCTGCGCGATCTGATCTTGCAGCAGTGCTGGCATCCCATAAACGGCTTCCGCTAGCAGGTCCGGAACATAATCCGCTGACTCATACGGGTTCAGTCCAATTCGCGGTGCATACTCTCCTTCAAATTCCTCTCTAGGAAATCTGAATGCACCGCTCATATCAATCACTTTTTTTCCAAGCTCAAAAATTGGTGGTGCAAACGTCATTGATTCTGGATCTTTCGTTGCAAGAAAGACCAGTTCGCAGGAGTTCAATGTCCCTTCTTCTCTTCTTGAATTTTTTCTGAAGCAGATTTCAACCTGATCGTGATGTTCTAAGACTTTTTCAATCTCTTGGCCCACCATACCGGTGTCGCCATATATGCCGATGCTGTACATGACCTGCCTCCTTTTGTAGATTCTGATTCAAGAACGGTTGAATCGTGAGATTAACCCTCACACTCCGTATTATGAAGTATAATCTTTCATTTTTCGACTGTCAATGTTTTTTTGCTCGGCGATCAACTCAACACATTGATGGAACAAACCGGATAGGGGAATTTAGTTCCCTGTAGGAGGGATCTCCGAATCCCGACCCCCTACTCAGACAGGGAGAAAATCGAAAACTAAATCGCCCTAACCCAGTACAAGTTTGGGATTGACGCCCTTGTAGGATTCGTGCTATTATTTCGGTTGGCTTCAGGCACTGCGAACCCTTCAACACACCATCGCACAAATCACGAGGGAATTTTTCTATGGGGCTAATACCATCAGCTTGGGCACAACAGATAAAACCATCGCCGACGCTGGAAGTCAAGTTGATAGCGGATAGATTGAGGCTGAAAGGGAAACAGATTTACGATTTCGGGATTGGTGAAATGAACCCAGAGCTTCCGGTCCCTCACCTCCTGAAAGCCGCGATTTCCCAAGCCGTAATGGATGATGCGACGCACTATTCTCCAGAGGCAGGCGATCCAGAATTGCTCGAAGCCATTCATGCGGATCTTCATCTGTTCGGATTAAGCTATTCCCCGTCGGAGATTGTCGTCTGCCCTGGGCCCAAAGACGCAGTCTTCAAAATCTGTATGACGATGCTGAATCCGAGTTCTCGCCGGAACCGATTGGTCTCGTTTGCCCCAATCTACGAATCTTACGAGAACCTCCCTATCCTGTTGACGGGTAAACCACCGATTGTCTTGCAGACCGATGCGCATTTCCTACCGGATCTAAATCAATTAGCGGACCTCCTGAACCAAGATGATACGGTTGCGCTGATTGTGTTAAATTCGCCGAATAATCCAACAGGGACAGTCTATCCCCCTTCATTGTTACAAGAACTTGCCGAAATCATTGGAAAGCACGAACAGATCTGCGTTTTGTCCGATGAAGTTTACCGCACCGTCGTCTATGATGGTCTCGAACATGTGAGTATTGCGTCATACCTTCCCAATCAGACCTTGCTCGTTGGGGGCATGTCCAAAGAGGTTTCAGGTACAGGACTTCGCTTAGGATTTGTTGCAGGACCTGAAGCGGTGATGCAGGTGATAGCAAATGTTGAGGGAAATACATCCTCGTGCGTCAACCTACCTACGCAGAAGGGGTACGCACACTTTTTACGGAAAGATGCAGATCTGCGCCTGCGACACCAAGTCCGAGATGCACTTTGTCTGCGGCGGGAGGCATTGATGAAACGCTTTAGCGAACTAGTGAAGGGTGCAGTTTGGGAGCGTCCATCGGGTGCATTTTATTTTTTTCCCGATATGCATCTCTACTGTGGTCGCCGGACGCCGGAAGGACAACTTCTCAACACAGACGAAGCGTTAGCACTCTACTTAATTGAAAGTGCAAATGTTGTAACAGTGCCGGGGAGCAAGTTTCAGCGTCCCGGGCATCTTCGGTTTGCTTATGCGGTTAGTCTCGAAACAATCAATGCGGGGATACAGCGACTGGCGGAGGCTCTGGATCAGCTATGTGCTTGATAGAGCTATCCTACGGATTTCTTAACCGCCATACAGTGTCAGTGTGAAACACAAATTGCAGTGCAGGGATTATATTCAGGAGGACAAATTCAGATGCAATACGGAAACAATTGCTGGGTTGATATGCAGGAAGCAGATAAAAATAAAGTCGTTGTTCTTCCACTCGGATCGCTGGAGCAGCATGGTCATCACTCTCCACTACTGACGGATACCTATCTTGTGACCGCAGTAGCGCAGCGGGTCGAACAAGAACTCAGTGAGCAGATCTATCTGCTACCGACGTTATGGCTTGGTGCATCGGATCATCATCTAGATCGCCCTGGCACTGTGAGCGTCCCCAATCACATTTACACGCTGATGATTAAAAACATCGTCAGGTCTTTCGCCAAGGCAGGGTTTCAGCGTGTGTTTTTGCTCAATGGTCACGGAGGCAATGTTGTTCCGGGTACGCAAGCAATCACAGAGCTAGCGAACGAATCGGATATTTATGACAATATGTGGATTGCGCTGTCCTCTTATTGGACGGTGGCTGAACCGGCGATGGCACCAGAACACCACGGGATGGAGACGCCGCATCTGACGCATGCCTGTGAGTACGAAACCTCAATGATGTTGTTCTTGCACGGCGAGATCATGCGGATGGACCGGGTGACGTCCAGTCCGCCACTGATAGATTCGCCGTTTTACCACAGCGAGCACGGCGGACGCATCAATGTCGGCAAGCGATTAGTCACGTGGGCACCTACCGGGGCAATGGGGAAACCTCAACACGCCACGCCGGAAAAGGGGGAATCTTTGCTTAACGCCATCACCGGTGAGGTGGTAGCCTGCATCAAGGATTTCGAGACGTGGTAGATAGATAATTCACAAGAGATTTCAAATTACCGAGTTTTATACGTACAAGATTAACCGTCCTTGTTCAAAAAGGGTCTTAGCAAGATCGTAAAACAATGAGAAAACCATCACGAAATGAACCCTGCTGGTGTGGGAGTGGCAAAAGATATAAAAATTGCCATCTCAAGCAGGATAAAAAATCAGGCACATCTCAACCACGAATGGCTTCAGGGAATTATTATCAAAACTGAGGAACAGATCGAAGGCATTCGTAGAAGCAGTCAATTGGCGCGAAAAACTTTGGACATGCTGGACGGGCGAATTGAAGCTGGCATCGCAACCAAGGATATTGACCGATGGGTCTACGAATATACCTGCGACCACGGTGGATATCCTGCAACCCTCAATGTAAAGGGATTCAACAAAAGTTGCTGCACTTCGATCAATAATGTCATCTGCCATGGGATTCCCGATGATACGGTCTTGGAGGACGGAGATATCATCAATGTCGATGTCACTCCAATTCTGGATGGATATTTTGGCGATACTAGCCGTATGTTCGTGATCGGCGAGACGTCACAGGAAGCCCTGAAGTTAATCGAGGAAACGAAAGCGTGCCTGTATCTTGGTATTGATGTAGTGAAACCCGGCAACACGATCGGAGACATCGGCTACACAATCCAACAGCATGCCGAAAGTCTCGGATATTCTGTCGTGCGTGAATTGTGTGGGTCACGGCACCGGTTTGGAGTTCTGGGAAGCCCCGCAGGTTCCCCATTACGGCAGAAGAAACGACGGTCCCCCAATGGTGCCGAATATGGTGTTTACTATTGAGCCGATGATCAATGCTGGTCGCTACGAATGCACAACGCTGTCGGATGGCTGGACAGTTGTTACGGTTGATGGTTCGTTATCAGCACAATGGGAGCATACCGTGCGCGTGACGGAGACCGGTGTTGAGGTTCTGACAGCCTAACTCACCAAAGGAAGATGTAATGTCGCAGATTAAAATCTACGGATTAAAAGAGAACCTCGACCCTATCAAAGCAAAACTCTCCGATGTCATCCATTCGTGTGTCGTTGATGCCTTGCATTTTCCAGAGGATAAAAGATTCCATCGCTTCTTTCCGCTAGATCTCTCCGATTTCTATTATCCCAGTGGACGCACGACAAAGTACACGATTATTGAGATTAGCATGTTTGAAGGCAGATCTGTAGAAACGAAGAAACACCTGATTCGCCTGCTTTTTGAAAGGGTTCACCAACAGCTGAATATCCTTCCACAAGACCTTGAAATCACAATTACTGAGACACCCAAGCACAATTGGGGGTTCCGTGGTACGCCGGGGGACGAAATCGAATTAAATTACAAGGTTGAGGTGTAATAGACGGGAGAATTGACGCTCAACAACTGGGTGGATCTCTAGCAACGTTGCCGTACAAAATGCAGAAACTTCCAAGACCATAGACACATTTGTCATTTGGGTGCTACAATACCTACTGGTGTATCAACAAATGTAATGCAGAATATTTAGCGTAAGTCTTACCTATGGCTCTTATTTTTAAGCAACCCAATCCAGACACAATTATTCTTAGACGCAGTCTTGCCTCCCGACTTTCTAGTCTGATTTGGTTTGGAGTGGCTGGATTGCTCATGTTCGAGTTCAGAATGGATGACCGGATATGGACTGCTGTCCCTTGCTTACTCATGGGTCTACATCTCTTAACTTATACTCTGCGAATTAATATCCGCCTTCCACTCCGTGATATTCTGTGGCAAAGGCGTATTCTATTCTTTTTCCCGATCAAACGCCCAGTGCCATTTTCCGGAATTCGCTCTGTGAGGATTAGGACTCGCGGGAAATTCCTTAAAATCTTGCATCTGTACTTCTTCCTTGTTGATGGTTCACGACTCTCCATCACCCACGCCTATCAGCTAACTCAAATTGAGGCACAGGGCAGGGAATTAGCGCAAATCGTTGGAAAGCCGTTGGTATACGAACAGGAAGAGCGTGAATCAGACGAATGAAAAGCAGCGCATAAGCCTCAAAGGGGATCAGTCAACTACATACAATTAGAAAGGTAAGTCTATGACAAGCGAACTGAAAGTCGGCTTGGTAGGAGTCCCACGCGGCTCAGGGTTTATCCGGGCGTTCCAAACTGTGAATGAAACTGCCCTCGTTGCCATTTGTGATATTAACACCGAAGTCCTAAATCAGGTGGGCGATGAGCATGGGATTAAGGAGCGATACACAGACTTTGAGCAGATGGCAAAGTCAGACCTCGATGTGATTCTTGTCTCAACACCGATGCCTTTGCATGTTCCCCAAGCCGTCATCGCACTTTTGGAAGGAAAGCACGTTCTCTCCGAAGTTCCCGCTGCAACGGATCTTGAACAGTGTTGGCACCTCGTCAACGCCGTCAAACAGAGCGGGAAAAAGTACATGATGGCGGAAAACTACACCTACATGAAGCCGAATGTGTTGGTGCGTGAACTCGCTCAGCGTGGATTGTTTGGCGAGATCTACTTCGGTGAAGGTGCATATATTCATGAATTGAAGGCGGGCAGCGAAAGAACAAAGTGGCGGCGCAAATGGCAAACCGGACGCAACGGATCAACGTATCCGACACATAGCCTCGGTCCCGTGTTGCAATGGTTCGGCGAGCGCGTCTGCACTGTTTCCTGCTTCGGTACAGGGCACCATTATCACGATCCGCGCGGTGCACATTACGAAAATGAAGATAGCACGACAATGATGTGCAAGACGACAAACGGCGGGCTGATCGAAATCCGGGTCGATATGTTGTCCAACCGTCCGCACAACCTCACCTATTACAGCTTGCAAGGGACGCAGGGCTGCTACGAGGCACCACGGGGCTTTGGAGATGCTCCGAAGATCTGGTTGGCGGACTATGCCGAGAAGATGGAGTGGTGTTCGTTGTGGGATTTCGAGGAGGAGTTTATGCCAGAGATGTGGCGCAATCCGCCGGAAGAAGCCTTACACGCTGGACACGGTGGTGGCGATTACTTCGAGATTCGTGAGTTTGTCGATTCCATTATCAACGATACGAAGCCTCCAATTGATGTTTACGAAGCCCTTGATATGACGGTGCCGGGGTTGGTTTCGGAGGCATCAATCAATCAAGGTGGGATTCCGCTGCCTGTGCCCGATTTCCGGGAGATCCAGAGTTTTCCAGATGGTCTGCCAGAACCGTTGCGAGATAGTGAGATTATCTCGGTTCAGTTATAGCTAGGCATTGCCCGTTTGTGTCGGTACAAATCGATATCAGAGGTATCTCTATCAACGGAATTTGATATTGACAGTCATTTAGGCAAGCCCAAGCCTTTATGCTTGGGTCCCAAGTGTTAATTTTTGTTGTGTTTTTGTGTGACAAAATGGTATAACTGTCTTGTCTTTCAGTGGGAGAATGTCGCACCGTCGCTTGGCGGTGTCTCCCACACCCTACGACATAGGAATCAAAAGACAGAAAGACAATCCCATGTTAAAAACTCATAAAATCGCTTTAGATCCAAACAGTTCGGTTTTTCCCGTCGAGTAAAACCTGTTCAGCGTGTGGTGTAGTGGACAGCGACTTATCCTTGTCCGATAGGACGTATCATTGCAGTGCTTGTGGTCACACCCAAGACAGGGACCTAAACGCTGCAATAAATCTCAAAAACCTCGCCGTGGGACACACGGAGAGTATAAACGCTTGTGGAGATTCTGTAAGACCTCAGCAGTTGAGGCACGAATCGTCGAATCAAGAAGATAGCACAGAGCAACTGCTACTGTTCAGTCTATCATAAGAATCCCAAGCCTTCAGGTTTGGGAGCTGTCAAAAGGAGATCTCTTATGAGCCAAATTGCAGGGGATGGAAATTGCTTAGCCAACCAAATTGTCAGCGAAAACAGATTCAGGAATGGGTGGATCAATTCCATCGGGACGGTTTTCTGTTTTTACAAAATGTGCTACCCACCAGATTGGTGTGCCCAGATGCGTGAGGACCTGGATTGGGCAGTTAAAAGAAAATCCTAACGGTTTCAATGGTGTAAATGAACGCACCGCACTCGCCCACCGGATGTTTGAAACCAGCAAAACCAACCTCAAATTATTCGATTTGGAACCCATCGTCAGCTTTGCCGAAGCCCTTATCGCCCCGAATTGCCATGTCATCCACAACAACTCATTCCAGAGTTTTCCGGGTGGCGGCATAACGGGATGGCATCAGGATGATGCCCCCCATTTCACTGTTACAGATGGTGAACCACCGAAGAATATCCGTTTGTCGGTCATGTTTTTCACCGCAAACTACTATCTGACGGATGTCACCGAGATTAAATACGGCGGCACAGAGGTGATTCCCGGCTCACACCTGCTCGGTACGGGTCCACCGCCCGAAATTGAAGGAACGGAGTGGGAGAGCAAGATTCACTACAATTCGGGCAAAGCGGGAAGCGTCGTCATGTTCAACAATCAGGTGTGGCATCATGGAGGGCTTAACCGCAGCGACCGAACACGGTATATGACACAGATTACCTACGCCCGTCGCATGATTGGACACAAATATTATCCGTTCATGAACTACAACATGCCAGAGCACATTTACAAAGACGCCAATCCGAGGTTAAAGCGATTGCTAGGATTCCTTGAGCATGGGGCATACGGTTAATGGCAATAAGACAGCATAACGCATCCGAACCCAAACCGAGCGAAGGAATTCCATGAAAGCGATCATTTTTCACGAACAGGGCGGAATTGATAAACTCCGCTACGAAGATGTCCCCACCCCGGCGATTACTCCCTCAGAAGTATTGGTCAAAGTCAAGGCGTGCGCGGTAAATCACCTCGATATCCGCGCCCGACGGGATCGCCCGGAGGTACAGCCATTTCCACACATCCTCGGATCTGACATCTCCGGGGATGTGGTCGAGGTAGGTGATGAAGCCTACAACGTCGCTGTCGGTGATCGGGTAGTACTCTCACCCTGCATCCCCTGCGAACAGTGCCCAGATTGCCTCAACGGCGACGAAAATATGTGCGACTTTCAGGAGCTTTTGGGCTTTCAGAGCAACGGCGGTTACGCGGAATATGTCAAAGCACCTGCCAAAAACGCCATCCAGATTTCCCCCAATCTCTCATACGTCAATGCTTCTGCCATCCCAATCGCCTATCTCACGGCGTGGCACATGCTTGTAGAGCGGGCACAAGTTCATCCCGGCGATGATGTGCTGGTCTTATCCGCTGGTAGCGGTGTCGGGAGTGCCGGTTTACAAATTGCCAAACTGTGCGGTGCACGCGTTTTTGCAACGGCAAGCACCGATGAGAAACTTGAACGCGCCCGTCAGATGGGAGCCGATTTCACCATCAACTACACGCAAACCGATTTCAGCGAAGCCGTTCTTGAGGCGACAGGTGGACGCGGTGTTGACATTGTATTTGAGCATGTTGGGGCAGCGACATGGGATCAGAGCGTGGCAAGCCTCGCAAAAAAAGGACGCCTTGTTTCGTGCGGTGTCACAACGGGGAATATCGTGAGATTGACATCCGCAAAATGTATCAGAAACAGTTGACATTAATGGGATCGGCATTGGGGACACATCTGAGCTTCAGACCATTATTCGCCTTGCCGGGCAGGGAAAGTTGACGCCGATTATCGCTCAAGTATTGCCGTTACAAGCAGCAGCGGAGGCACATCGAATCATAGAAGCGCGGGAAAATTTTGGCAAGGTTTGTCTCCAGCCGGAATAATAGGAAAGGAGGGAGAGTTTTCATGGGAAAATTGGATGGTAAAATCGCAATGATCACGGGGGCTGGTAGAGGTCATGCCGAGGCAATTGCCCTGCGATTCGCGGAAGAGGGTGCTGCGGTTTCCTTATGCGATGTGGTTCCAGTGACAACAGTTGGAGGAGAAAGTAGGAGCGAAAAGATAAGAGCCGCTGGCGGAAAGGTCCTCTGCTTCCAGACCGACGTTTCAAAAGAGGATCAGGTGAACAAGATGGCAAAGGAAACCATTGAAACGTTGGGTACAGTCGATATCTCGCTAACGTTGTCGGCATCGCTGGACCGACCAAAGATGTCTGGGATATGAGCTTAGCGGAATGGAAGCAGACGCTCGCAGTCAACCTCGATTCACACTTTCTCTGTTGCAAAGCAGTGCTGCCCGAAATGATAAAGAAGCGATATGGAAAAATCATAAATTTTAGTTCGGGCACGGGTAAACAGCCACTTTCCCATAGGGCACCGTATGCCACCTCGAAGATGGGAGTAATCGGCTTCACAAGAACACTCGCCGCCGATGTTGGACGTTACAATATCAATGTCAATGCGATCTGTCCGGGTGGGCATGAGGAAAGGGGCGTCGAATTGGCGAGAGGACGGGCGGAATATATGAAGCAGTCCTTTGACGAGGCAGAATTTCGCGAGCGAATCAGACACCCAGATCCGAAGGGTGTTCTCGCGGGCAGATGGTGCGCCGATGAAGGCTATCGTGAAAAAGGATCTGGTTCCGAAGATATGGCTGGCTTGGCGTTATTTCTCGCCTCGGATGATTCAGCAAGTATGACAGGGCAGGATATCAATTGTGACGGTCGGGTTATGTGGTAGTCCACCGTGCAGTAGGTGAAGATGAAAGGAGGTTTTTTACGATGGCAGAAACGCTTGAAACCTTAGCAGAACGGTTAGAGCAGGCAGAAAGGACGATTGCAGAGTTGACGCTGCAACTCTCTTGGATCGTTGATGGGTTGGTGCCAAACCCGCCAATGGGTTGTAAGACAGGCGCGGAGGTGATCGCACATTACAGAAAAGATAAGCAAGAGGGTGCTAAAATCTTCCGTGAACTTCTTGACAAAATGGGGATTGCGGAGGTGGAGCCTATCTCCATTGAGGGACTTCGCAAAAGTATGGCGCGCCACGGCATTCGTGCGGAAGACAATGAATTTAGTCGCGCCATTATTGAAGAACGCGAGAAATAGGTGTGTATTATTTTTACTTTGATGCTAGCGCGCTTGTCAAGCGATATACTGAGGAAATCGGTAGTGACAAAGTCGATTTTCTTTTCGCTAATGTTCCATTAAACCACTTAATGTGCTTGAATTTTGGTGCTGCCGAAGTCTTTTGGATCTGTGTGCGCAAAAGGAATGATCGACGAATTGCCCCTCGTGAGTTCGCTCAAGCAATTGGACATTTGAACCGGGAAGTCATCGCAGATGACTCCAATTTGACGACTCTTCCCATACACAAATTACTTGTTTGGGCATCAATGAATTTGATTGAAACATACGCAATTAACAGCACTGACGCGATTGTGTTGCGCTCTGCGTTAGACCTTGCAACATCTCTTCGTAATGTGGACGATGAACTAGTACTCGTTGCCTCCGACCAACGCTTGCTGAGAGCTGCTCGTGCTGAAGGACTGTTGTGTTTCAATCCAGAAACCGACTCGCAACAGACGTTGGCAGCTTGGTTCAGCACCCCATAAATCCGGAGGCTTTTTACGATAGCAGAAACGCTTGAAATTTGAGCAGATGTAAGTCTCTACATTAACGCGATACGCCGGCACAATCGGCACACATTAGGGCAAATCTTTTCTGTCCACCAGTGCCATCAAGCTCTGTCTCATAATCGTAGGTTACCTGTACGTTTGCCTCACCACACCAGTCACATTTCCCACGAAAATAATCCGCCCCCTGTGCCGCCAATTCCTGATGCTTATCCTCCAACTGTCTAACAGACTGAATGAGATCTATTGCACGTTGGCGTAGTTTTGAATCCGTTTCTTTCTTTGCAATCTTCTCAAGAATTGGCTGCAACTGCGGATCGTTCGGTCGCCCGCCATCGTCAAGGATATGCCACGCTGCCTTGCGAACGTTGATGTCGGGGTCTTGAAGCCCACGGTATAGTGCTTCCCATACGGCATCAATCCGTCTGCGAACGTGGCACGGACAAAGATTATCCATCGCAGCTATCCTGTCCTCCGGGTCATCCGAATACGCCATCGAAAGGTAAAGGTCAATTCTGTCGCCGCGCAAGCGATCTTCGCCACGACGTTGCTGTCTCTTCTGATATTTATTCTTCGCTCGTTTTTTTGCCATTGACTCCTCCTTACGTCAGCTGTAAAAAATCAATCTTTCAGGCGTTTATCTGTCTATCGCAGGCTAGAACTCGTGAATCTATAATTTCTTGTACGCTGGCACCATCCCCCGCATCTGCTCAACGATTTTGGGAACTTTGTCGATGACCTCATCGATCTCTGCTTGCGTGTTATCTTTACCGAGCGAAAACCGGACAGTGCCCTGCGCTAACTTAGGTGGGAGACCGAGCGCAGCCAAAACGTGAGACGGTTCCATCGAGCCAGAGGTGCAAGCTGAACCGGTTGAGACACAGATGCCTTCCATATCCAGCCGCAGGATCAGACTCTCTCCCTCAATATACTCAAATGAGATATTCAACGTTCCGGGCAAACTGTTTTCAGGATTGCTATTCTCATGGATATAATTGATGCGTTCATGCAGCCCCTTGCGTAATTTGCCCTGTCAGCTGATTCAGATGCTCAACATTCGCTTCCCGATTCCTTCTTTGCCAACGCTGCCGCCTGACCGATCCCAACAATCGAAGGGACGTTCTCTGAACCTGCTCGCCTATTCCGCTCATGTGATCCCCCGTGAAGCAGGTTCTCTAACCGTGTGCCACGCCGTAGGTATAGCGCACCGATGCCTTTGGGACCGTAAATCTTGTGCGCCGAAAGCGAGAGCATACTAACACCCAACGCCTGAACATCAACCGGCAGTTTGCCTACGGATTGCACCGCGTCTGTATGAACAGGAATACGATGTGCTTGGGCGATTTCGCAAATTTCTGCAATCGGTTCAATCGTTCCCGTTTCATTGTTAGCGTGCATAGTCGAGATAAGGATTGTTGTGTCTCGAATCGCCTCGCGCAAATCATCAAGTTGAATTCGTCCATACCGATCAACAGGGAGATACGTTACCTCAAATCCCGCGTTTCTCAAGGTATTGGCAGGTATGCAATACAGCGTGATGCTCGATTGAAGAGGTAATGATGTGATTGCCGCCATTGCGACTTTGCTGCAATTCGGCAATCCCTTTGATGGCGTAGTTGTCAGCCTCTGTCCCGGTGCTTGTGAAAACGATTTCGCTCGGGCTTTTGGCGTTGATAAGGGCTGCGACCTGTTCACGCGCATCGTCAATCGCATTACGTGCCTCACGCCCATAGGTGTGGATGCTCGAACCGTTGCCGAACTGATTGACCATGAAGGGGATCATCGCCTCAAGCACTTCCGGGTGTACTGGGGTTGTGGCGTTATGGTCGAGATAAATACGTTTCATGATTTTCACCATCTTCCTCAGGTGTTTTCTATAGCTCGTTCGAGCGGGTTGCTATGCGATCTTGGACAGCGGCTACAAATTCTTCGACAGGTAAGCCGTTCTGACGCGACCCATCTCTTTTCCGGAGAGAAATAGTGCTGTTTTCAACTTCTCTGTCCCCAACAACAAGCATATAAGGCACCTGCATCAACTGGGCTTGACGAATCTTTGCATTCATGCGGTCTGGCCCAAGATCCGCTTGTGCACGAATTTTGGCTTCTCTCAACCGTTCAGCAATCTTCTGAGCATAGTCGTTATGACTGTCGTTGATTGGAATCACACGCGCATGTTCCGGTGAGAGCCAAACAGGAAACTTCCCGGCATAATGCTCAAGCAGGAAACCGATCATCCGCTCGTGCGTACCCAAGGGAGCGCGATGGAGGCATATCGGGATTTCAGATTTGCCTGCTCTATTGATAAAGCTCAAATCGCATCTCGCTGGTACGGCAAAATCGACTTGATTCGTGGCGAGACTAAACTCCCTACCGATGGCACTCCAAATCTGCACGTCAATTTTGGGACCGTAGAACGCAGCTTCATCTGGAACTTCTACAAAAGGCACGTTACCATTCTTCATGGCGTTACGGACCATCTCTTCGGTTTTGAGCCACATCGGTTCGTTATCGATATACTTTTTGCCAAGTCCAGTCTTGTGGTGCGTACTCAGGCGCATCACATATTTCTCGACGCCGAAGATTCGGAAATATTCTAGGTATAGGTCAACGACCCCCATGAACTCCTCTTCAAACTGTTCCTCTGAGCAGTAGATGTGTGCGTCGTTCATCTGCATAGAACGCACCCGCATGAGACCGAAGAGTTCACCACTCTTTTCAAAGCGATAGCATGTGCCGTATTCGCCCAAGCGAAGGGGTAGATCACGATAGCTTCGCGATTTGCTGTCAAAAATCTTGTGATGAAATGGGCAGTTCATCGGTTTCATGTAGTACCGCACACCCTCCATCTCCATAGGCGGGTACATGCTCTCAGCATAATGCAAGAGGTGACCAGTACGCTCAAACAGTGCGTCTTTGGCGAGGTGAGGTGTCCTGACCCGATCATATCCTCGTTTTCCTTCCATCTCTTTGGCAAGCCCTTCTAGCTCCTCGATAATGATACCACCGTTTGGCAGCCACAGGGGAAGCCCAGGACCAACGTCTTCATCAAAGATAAAGATTTCTAGATCCCTGCCCAGTTTTCGATGATCTCGCTTTTTCGCCTCCTCAAGCATTTGCAGGTGCTGCTTGAGCTCGTCCCTGGTGTGCCACGCTGTGCCGTAGATACGCTGAAGCATGGCGTTATTTTCATCGCCTCGCCAATATGCACCGGCGACAGTCAAGAGTTTGAAGGCATCGGGGCGTATCTCGCCTGTGTCTCCGACATGGGGACCGCGACAGAGGTCTTCAAAGGTATCCTGTCGATAAGTACTCAAGACCGGTGTTTCATCGATCACAGCCCCATATTCATCGACATTGCCCTCAATGAGTCCATCTATCAACTCCAGTTTATAGGACTGATCTTTGAATAACTCGCGTGCTTCATCAGGACCGATTTCTCGATAGTTAAACTCATGCTTGCCAGCAACGATTTGCCGCATACGTTTCTCAATTTTCTCTAGGGCTTCCGGCGAAAATGCAAGCGGCTTGCCGTCGCTATCAGTTCCGAGATCGAAATCGTAATAAAATCCGTTTTCAATCGGAGGGACCAATAGCGAGTTTGGCGTCTGGATAAAGTTCCATGACAGCTTGCGCCATTACATGCGCGGTACTGTGCCTAATCTTATAAAGCAGATCCTGTTCTGAGTTTTCCATAATTCTCTCCAGTGTTTATCGTCTCTTACGAGTAGCTTCGACTCCTACTTAATCCGTGTAAACTCCCATTCCTCAAGCGTTCTTCAATAAAAAAAGAGCCTTTCGGCTCTTTAATGTTAAATAGTATGGATGGGCGATACTGGATTTGAACCAGTGACCTCTTGCATGTCAAGCAAGCACTCTAACCACCTGAGCTAACCGCCCGTATAAGAAATGGAGGCGGCGGTCGGAATTGAACCGACGCATAGGAGTTTTGCAGACTCCGGCCTTACCACTTGGCTACGCCGCCACATTGGAGCGGGAGACGGGATTTGAACCCGTGACCTCTACCTTGGCAAGGTAGAGCTCTACCACTGAGCTACTCCCGCGAGGGTGCTTTTAAGTGTATCAAACACACTTGCGTTTGTCAACCAAAAAGTTGAAATTTGCTGAAGCAGATTGGGTCAACCCTGCTGTATCAACCATTGGCATCATAACCAACAATTTCCCCTGTCGCCGAATCGAAAATCGCCCCGTAACTGCCCGGCGCGGCGAAATCCTCATCAGTCTGCATCGCCAACCGTGTATTTGCGTCCATCAGATAGTAGTGTCCAGTGTATAAGTGCGTTGTGTCCTCAATCTGCTTGACATGATAGCAATGGCTGTGAAACTGAATCGTGTTATCGTAAATAATGATATACCGATCTCCGAATAGACTTTGTGCGATCTGGTGGACGATGAACGGTTCAACCTTTTGAAATGTATCTCGATTTGGCACGCGCCTCCAAGCCTCCGTGAAAATGTGAAGATTTGGCAACTATCCTTTATTCGTGGATTTCTATCTCCCTCGTCAGAAGGATCGTATCAATCCGCCGATTTTTATCTCTGCCCACCTGAAAATTGTTGTCTGCAATAGGATGATCCTCACCCAAACCGATGGCGGTCATTCGTTCCAACGGCACACCACATTTTTCAGCGAGGTATTTCTTGAACGCATCGGCACGTTTTTGCGTCAACCTCAGATTTACGTCCGTTCCCCCGCTGCTGTCACTATGCCCTTCGATCCGTACTTTATAGTCGGAAAATGTTTTGAGAACCTCAGCAAGTTGACCAATTTTGGGGAAGAATTTTGGATTAATTCCCGAACTTCCCTGCTGGAAAAGGTCTCCGCTGAGTCGGATGAGTGCACCTTTCTCAGTCCGACCCGTTTCTGCGTCAGGAACCGCTGTGGCTGCCTCAAGAATCTGGGGTCTCAATTGTTTCAGCCTCTTTCCCCTTCTCAATTGCAGCCATCAACTGCTCGTAGCTCTGCTGACCGACTGTGATGGCGTGAGCGTAGTTTTCATCCGCAATCGCCTGTTTGGCATCTGCAAGCAGCGTTTTCGCCTGTTGGTAGCAGCACAGGGATGAGCGTCACCACCGATGATGCTTGCTGGTTCAGTGCTTCTTCCGCCCGGAAGACTGTATCTTTGGCTTGAGCAATTTGTTCCGCTAGTGCTTCCTTTGCAAGACGTTCGCGATCAATTGGTTCCGCAATGGCGAAGGCATCACTAGCACTGGTTTCAGCTTGTGCGGCTAGCCGCAATGCCCGATCATACTGCTCTCTGGTTAGTGCCATATTCGCACCTTCAAAGCTGGTGATAGCGCGTTGAAAGAGTTCCGCCGCATGCTCAAATGCATTGACCTTCTCAGCCCGATCGATTTCAAACTGTGCACGGGCGATCGCCACCTTTGCATTTGTGTGTGCTTCAAGTTTTGCCGCTTGTGATTCGCTAGCGGCAGCATTCTTTCCGGCAACGGCCGCAATCTTCGCCTTATTTGCGTAGCTTTCGGCTTGCGTCGCGAGCGATTCCGCCTCATTAAAATTATCCTGTGCAAGGGCAGCGCGCGCTTGAGCAGTCAGGTCCCTCGCTGTTTGGTAGTTATCTAAGCCGTAAGTGAGCACCCCCGCCTCTTTCGCTGCATCTAGTATGAGTTCTATCTTATCAATAACGACTTGTATCTGTGATCGGAACAGGGCATTTTGGGCATCCTCTCTTGCCTGAATTGATTCCTCGTAAGCGGCTATCGCTTGCTGCTCCGCTCGGAGCGCTCTAGCCAAAGCCCGTCTCATTTTTTCTTCCGCAATCAACTGACGGACTTCTGCTGCCTGGGTCTTATACTCCATCTCCTGAATCACGGCTTTTAGTGCTTCCGTGCCCGCTTCGTCCATCCGGATCTGAGCGATGCGTTGACGCGCCTGTGCACCCGCGATCTGAGACTCCATCCCCGCCCGAAACGCCAACTCTATGCTCTGAATACCATCGCCGTTACGTTGGGCTTGTTGTGCCTCCTCAAACAGTCGTGTCGCTTGGTTAAATGTTTCAGTAGCATGTTCTGCAGCCCCTAACCGCTGCGCTTCGGAGATAGCCTTCTGTGTGTCATTCAGGCTTGATTCGAGCAGAATTGGATCTATCGTTCCAGCACAACTCACAAACCCAAATATTATAAGTGCATGAAACGCGATATGTAGCAAATAGGTTGCGTATCGTGCATTTCGTACTGCGTGCCGCATGAATTGACTCAACCCATTCCTCCAGTGATTAACCATCGAAAATTATTCTCTCCATCAAGCGCGAACTGATTGCGCGAAGGAATTCCTTTTATTTTGGAGCAACGCTATTCTTCAGGTGTTGATTGCAGCTGTTTCAACGCCTCTTCTGCCGCTTGAAGGTCTCGATGTGCGGCTTGTGCAGCCTGTAATTTCAATTCCAACGCCCTCTCTGAACTGCTAGATTCCGCCTCCATCTGATTTGCAACAGCGACAGCTTCCGCAACTTTCGCCTTCAAATGGGCACGCATTCCTAATCGATACGCCTCTTTCTCTCTTCCAGCATCCAACACCTCCTCTGACCGAGCAAGCATCTGCTCCGCATCCGCCAACTCTTGAGGAGCAAGATTTTGGGCGTTCGCTGCTTTGGCTGCTTCTACCTGCACGTTGGCGTCGTAAATGATTTCCGAAGTAAGCTGAGTTGTGGAAGCACAACCAAGCCCTGTTAAAGTGACAATTAAACTGAAAACCGTCATCATCAACATCTGTTTCATCAAGTTGCTCCTGAAGACGAAAAGGGATTTAGGATCACACGACACTGAGATAAGCATCAGATCCGATTTCTCAACTAACTTAACGATCGACCCCAATTTCAAAATGCCGAACGAGAGGTGCCAATTCTTCCCAGAAGGATTCCGGGATTTCAACTGCCCCTGCCTGTGCGTTCTCGACTGCCTCTTCAGGGGTGCGGGCACCCGGTATTGTAGCAGCGACCTGCGGGTGACGGGTGCACCATTGAAGGGACGCAGCCACCATCGGAATGTTGTAGTCCCGGCAGAGCGTCTGGATTTTGGAAACATGGTCTAGGCAGCCCTGACTGAAATTCCGCGCCAGATAGTTGATATCCGAGATAGGTCCTGTTGCGAGTAGCCCTCGCTCAAGCGGCGTAGCAACGACAAGCCCTACGTTGTGCTTCTCCGCAGCGGGTAGGATAAGTTCCGCCGCAAGCTGGTTCAGAAGGCTCCAAGCCTCTGGCACCACAGCGGCATCAAATTCTCCAGTTTCGATGTAGGGCGCATTCGTCAAGGGATCGTTAGCCGCGGCACCGACAAATCCAACAACCCCCTCTTTCTGGAGTTTGCGTAACGCCCCCAACGCACCATCCTGTCCCATGACCTGTTCCATCGGAATATCCATGGGATCGTGAATATAGAGAACATCAAATTGTTCGATGCCCAAACGTTTCTGGCTCGCTTCCACATCACGCAGAATTGCATCAAAACTATAGTCCCGCGCGTCCATAGTGATTTGCCCGACTTTGGTGGTAACGGTGCATTTGGCAGCCAAATCGGGGCGTGCCTGCAGCGCACGACCAATTGTTGTCTCGCTTCGGGCGCCACCATAAAGGGGAGCGGTGTCAATAAGTGTGCTGCCCGCCTCAATGGCGGTATGGATGGTTCGCACACCGAGATCCTCTTCCATATAACTGGTGAGGAATTCGTCCCCTCGAAGGTTATTGGGATCTTCAGGGTATTCTTCAGCGGCTTGATTGGCAGTCGGGATCCCAATAAATGCAGCTCCCAAACCCACAATTGGCACTTCCAGTCCGGTTCGCCCCAGAATTTTGGTCTTCATAATTTTTACCCTAGTGACTAAATCTCGCGAGGGTATTAAACCCTCGCAAGATCAAAACACTACCCCATCATCTGCTGCATCCTGTCGGCAACCCAATCAACAGCAACATCAATCATCGCTTGTCCCTTTTCGGCGGTCGCTACCTTCGCGTCATGATGATACATCCGATCAGCTTCAGCCTGATCCGGATTGGAGATAGTCAACTTCGCACTGTCATAATCCACGCCATCCCAATCAACATTTTCCGGAAAGGCAGCCCACGCAAACGCGGTTTCAAACTCTGCAGCATGGCCGGGGCATCTGCCTGTCTCCATCTGCTCTTGGACGAACTCAGGGGAATACGCCTCCCAATATGAGTGAAAATCAATGTTGATGCCGAGTTGTTCGCGATAGCCATCCAGCCGTTCATTTACGGGTCCAGCGTTGCCGGCATGTCCGTTGATAATCAATATATTTGTAATCCCGTGACGACGCATGCTATCCGCCACGTCATACAGGACCTGACCGAATACCTCGGCGCGAAGCGTTAGCGTTCCCTTGTGGTCCATCCAGTGTTCTGACACACCAATCGCCAGCGGCGTGGTCACAATTACTTCGGGGAACAATTTCTGTGCGGCTAACTTTGAGACATGCACTGCACTTGCGGTATCGTGAATCATTGCCAGATGTTCGTTGTGTTGCTCGGTGCTGCCTGTTGGGATAATTGCGCCACGGAGCGTTCCGGCATCAATGGCTTCGCGGATATATCGTCGTGGATTTTCCCACAATAGAACGGATTTAATCTGAGACATTTTGATACTCCTTTTACTATTTGGGGGAGCGTGTGTAAATCTCGATTTATCGGGCATGCCCCCCACTAAATTTAAGTAGGGTTAATAAAATTGAAGTCAGCATTTAGAATGGAAGCGAAATACCGACCCGTTCAGCAACTATTTTCAGCTGTTCCTGATGCAGATCGCCAACCGGGATACCGATTTCCGCCCACTCCCGTTCCCGTTCCCATTCTAAGCCCCCCGGCAGATCTGAGCGATCATAACCCGGTGCCGGTTGCATCTGCTGGGCATCGTGGATATGTTGGTCAATCTCTGCTTTGAACTCGTCAATCGGTCGGAACCGGGAGATGTCAATCGCTGTGATGAAAGCACCTTGGTTCGCACCTTCCCAGATTGTTGGTGGATCCGGCGGTTTGTCAAATAGCCAAATGCCTGCCATAAACCCACCGAGCGCATGACTGACATGACTCAAACCCAACATCTTGAAGAAAGCAGCGGGACTCTGTTCAAACGCCTGTTCCAAGGGCAGCTTGGCGTCAATGCCGGTTGCCATATCAGCGATTATGGGCGGTTGCTCCCCCGCCGGAATCGCAAAACTCATCGGCGAAGCTCCAGTTGCGGTGGCAATCACACCGTCGGGGCTGTGTCGAAAGCGGTGGCAAGAGACCGCGAACCCGACACAATCCGCTTCAAGCGCGAGCCGTGAATACTTGCCAGCACTCCCAAAGTGGAAGTGATTACGACTCGTTGCGGCACCTAGCCCCATCTCTTTGGCTTTTTTGACCGCTGCTTTCGCAGCGTGATACGAGGCGAAGTGCCCCATGCCGCCGTCGCCATCGTAGACCGCTGTCGTCGGGGATTCATCAATGCAACGGACGGTTGGGCGCGGATTCACTTTGCCATCAAGCATCATCCCCACATATCCCGGTGTCTGGCGCGTGCCGTGACTGAATACACCGCGCAGATCCGTGAGAACGAGCAGGTGAGCCATATGGGCAGCGTCCTCTTCCGAGGTCCCTGCCTTCTGGAAAGCTTCACTGATGAAGCCTCGGAGTGCATCCGGCATAACGCGGATAAATTCGTCTGGAATTACATTCATAGTTTTTCTCCACGGTTGATTAATTCGTAGCTTGAGTGAAACGCATTATAGCACTTGATTTCGAATCAATCCATACGATTGTGAAAACATCAATATAGAGACGCAAGTTACGGTAACATTCTAATTATAGATTGCGTTATGATAATATACTCGATCTGTCCTATTCTTGACAAGTAGTAAATCTCAAATTGTAAATCTCTAGTGATCGACGGATTGACGGAGTTGTGGTAAAATCAGCTTAAATTATTAAGAAACTGGAACTCTCAAGAGAAAGGAACTGATAATGGGTACAAATTCTGATGTATCAAACCTGTCTCCGGCGAAACGTGCAATTGTAATCGGCATGGACGGTGCCAGCATGGAACTGGTCAAAAATGTGATTGATTGGGGACACGCACCGAATATGGGGCAGTTGCTAGAGCAAGGGGTTTTTCGACCGATGATCGGCGTTTTTCCAACCCTAACCCCACCGGGGTGGACCGCACTCAGTACCGGTTCGTGGCCCGGCACCCACCGGGTGATGGATTTTAATATCCGTGCTTTGGGGGAGCGGCTGGATCAGACCATCTGGGGCATCAATACGAGACTGTGTCAATCCGAATACCTCTGGAATCTAGTGGAGCGCGCCGGACGAAAACCGATCCTTGTCAAATGGGAGATGTCTTGGCCCCCCACCGTGACCACCGGCATCCAAGTGGAAGGGAACGGGACCGGGTGTATCAAACCACCATCAGGTTGCAGGCTATCACCTTTTCGTCAGTGGAAAAGTGGACGCCCCGTCCGATTGGTGGGAGAACGAGATCCAGAGACGTTGGATCCAAGTGGATTACAGACGTTAGCGAAGTCGATCCGGTCACGATAGAATCGGTTGAAGGGAAGGGATGGACGGATCTACCCGATTCGACGCAACCGCCGCGCGAAGTTGAATTGACAATCCAACCGCTCACACGAGGACGAGCAGATATGAACCGAGGAAAACAGGGGACTCCCAAACCTTTCTTCGGATTGGTCTATGCCGCCGGTGAGGACGGCTATGATCGTGTACGGATATGCCGAAGCCGGTCTGGGGCTGATACCGTTACAGAACTTAGTGTGGGAGATTGGAGCGATTTTTGGCTGGATACCTTCGAGATTGATGGAGCTGATGTAGAGGGATATGTCCGCATGAAGCTGATCACGCTCACTCCAAATGCGGACGCGTTTGAACTGTTCGTCCCCGCAGATTTGGCCCCTCAGAAGGCTATACCGTTCCCGACGAAATTGCGCGGGAGATTGATCAGGAAATCGGTACTTTCCTTCAGAACCCCGGTCGGGATGCGTTGGGCGTGATAGACGATGACACCTACTTTGAATCGTTGGAATACCATCACCAACGGCTTGCCGATGTCGCAACGCATTTAACGAAGACGCGCGAATGGGATGTCCTGATGGTGGAAACCCACGCGCCAGATTACACAAGCCACTTCTTCCTGAGTCAAGCGGACGAGGTGAGCGGTGCACCTCCCGAAACAATTCAACGCTGTCGAGATGGTGTCATTCGCACTTACGCTTCGGTAGATCGGATGATTGGACGCGTGATGGAACTTGCGGACGATGACACGGTTATCCTTGTCTGCTCAGATCACGGCGGGACACCGAACCAATTTCGTTCGGTAGACATCACCCAAGTGCTGGAAGAGGCGGGCTTCATCGTCTACAAGGAGGGAACACGAGAGATTGATTGGTCGAAGACCCGTGCCGTCGACGTTGGCTTGGTGCACATCTTCATCAACCTCAAAGGGCGTGAACCCGATGGGATTGTTGACCCCGCCGATTACGAGGCGACACAGCGTGAAATCATCGCTGCCCTTCACGCCTATAAAGATTCAGAGACCGGTAGGCATCCGTTCACGCTCGCACTGACGCACGCGGACGCTGAGATGGTGAATCTTACGAGTAACCTCGTAGGGGATGTAGTTTATGCCTTACGCCCGGAGTTTGATGGTGCACACGGCAAGCAACTGCCCTCCGTCAGCTTTGGTATCGCTGGGCAGCACTCGACGTTCATTCTGTCCGGTGCGGGCGTCCGTCAAGGTGTAGCACTCCAGCGGCAGGTACGGGTAATTGATGTTGCACCAACGCTCTGCCACTTGTTGGCTCTCCCCACGCCCCGGAACGTCGAAGGCGGTGTTGTATATGAAGCCTTAGAGGATCCGGATTGGCACCTGAACGCTCTTGAAGCATTAACGAAGGGTTAATCGAAATAAGCGGCAAGCGTATGCTCCTGCTCTTACCGCGTTTCCTCCTTTTTCGGATATTCTTATCTGCTTTATTTTTATCAATATGTTAAAATATAATTAACCAAAACATATTGAATAGGATGATGACTATGGAAATCCTACAAGAACTCAATGAGAAGCAACAGCAAGCCGCAGCGCACACCGACGGCGCGATGCTGGTTGTAGCGGGACCGGGCACCGGCAAGACGAATGTTATTACCCACCGAATTGCACATCTTATCCGAAACCATCAGATAGCACCGCAGCAGATTTTTGCCGTTACCTTCACGAACAAAGCCGCACAGGAGATGCTTGATCGGATCAAGGAGCTGCTCGGCACAACGCAAGGGTTGGAGGTCCGTATCCACACCTTTCACGCCTTTTGCGTCCGTCTGCTCCGTGAACACGCAGAGACGATTGGGTTGGGAGTAAACTTTGCTATTTTCAGTCAGGAGACACAAGAAGAGGTATTAATCGAATGTCTGCGCGAACTTGGTCAGAACCGGCTCACCTATCCCCCGTGGATGCTGCGCGACATCATCGGCGCGTACAAGATAAAGTTGGAAGATCCAACCGCTGATCGAGACGAAATTCGGCTGGGCGATGGGACAGTTATCAACGACCCGGTGCAAGTACAAGACATTCTCGACCTGCTCAAAGCCTATCAGACAAAACTCGCCGCTCATAACGCCCTTGATTTCGATGATCTCATCTCCAAATCAGTCGAAGTGCTTGAACAGGTGCCTGATGTTCGGGCAGAGTATCACAACGACATCCGTTTCATCCTCGTCGATGAATACCAAGATATCAACGCCGCGCAGTATGCCTTGCTCAAACTCCTTTCCCGTTCTCCCCAACATAACGTGATGGTCGTCGCCGATGAAGATCAGTCTATCTATAGCTGGCGCGGTTCTAACCCCAAATATATTGAACAATTCAAGAAAGACTTTAATCCGTCAGTAGTTGAGTTGGAGGAACACTATCGGTGTAGCGAGAGGATTCTGCGCGCTGCGGGGGCGGTGATCGCTAAAAACACACGTCAGAAAGAGAGCGTTCTGAAAACACACAAGGGGGCCGGAAATACACTTTATCACTATATGACAGAAACCCCTGACAGGGAGGCAAATCTCGTCATTACGCTTATCCGGAGACTTGTGGAAGGCAGACACTACTCCTACGGCGACATCGCGGTATTCTACCGTACGCACCAATTGGCAGAAACGTTAGCCGATCGACTGCACCAAGAGCGCATTCAATTTCAGCGCATTGGTCGAACGAACTCTTTTCAAGAGGAACATGCACAGGGGATTCTCTCCTATCTGAACTTCATTCAGTGGCAACTCCCCCGCGATATTGAAAAGGCAGTCAATTTTCCGCAGCAGCTAATTGACGACCTAACGCTAGTCCGGTTAAAATGGCTCGCACAACAGAAAGATATCACGCTGATTGAACTGCTCAGAAAGATTGATGACTATCGAGATGATGTAGGTCCCCTCACCCGTTGGAACGTGCGTCAATTCTTCCAACAGATTGATCATTTTCATGAAAGAATCGAAGAGGAAAAGATCCTCACGATTGCGAACCGACTCTTCGATCTCCTTTCCTACAGACGCAGCCCGTACCAGTCCGAAGACATGCACGAGATCGAAAATCAACCGGAAATCCCCGGACTTCGCGCTGCGACGGATACCCTGTATAGCGCGATTGACCGTGGGGATCCCATCCACCTGATGGCAAGCTACGGGGTTGATTCCCACTGCGCTGCCCACATGATCGGCAGCACTCTAGAACAATACCTCAACCTCTCGATTGATATAGAGCTGCTCCCTCTCGACTCGTCCCTGACCCCGACAATGGACGAAAGCGGAGTCAATATCCTAATCGGCGACTTTGGAGAACTGCCTGAACGCAAAGGGACAACAATCTTACTCGGCTCCGCGGTCAGCACAGACGCAAACGTCATCCAACTCAACAAACCACGATTCAGCCAATCTCGCAGTGTAACTGCGTTGAAACTGTGTCAGCGACTCTTAAGCAATTTTGAACAGCCAAACCGTGCGGACATGATTGTCTACGATCTCGAAACAATTGATAATAATCCAAAAACTGCGGAGATTATTGAAATTGCGGCACATCGCTTGAGTGCAATCGTAGTGATCTTGAAAGCTACCACCAACTGGTCAAACCGACGGGCAGAATTCCGAAATCGAGTACGCGCATCCACGGCATTAACAATGAGACTGTGGCAAATGAGCCGGGCATTGAGATAGTGTTACCACAGTTTTTGAGTTTCATCCAAGATCGCATCCTCATCGGACACAATATCGCTGAGTTTGATAACCCTGTGCTTGAACGCGACCTTGGGCGATATTTGAAACGTGGACTCTCCAATCCATACTACGATACCCTTACCACGGCGCAACGCCTCTACCCACGCGAAAGCTGTAGTTTAGAAGCGCTCTCCACTAAATTCAAGATCGAACATGACACCATGCACCGAGCGATTGAAGACGTACAGGTCAACCGCGATGTGTTTGATGAACTGATCAAGGAGGATCTACGCCGCCGTGAAGCAAGATCGCTGCCCGAACTCGTACCGCTGGTCGGTATTGGAATACTTGCTGCACAAGAGGAGCAACAGGACATCGGAATAAACGAAGAAATAGAAGGTGGAATAAAGACCTATTGCCAAGCTGCTGCGCGCTATATTCGGACACATCGTCCGGATCTAGACTGGCTAGAAGCAGATCTGCAACCTACGGAGAGACAATCGGTTCAAGATTTCATCAATACACTGAAGCAGATGCAGATTGAGGAATCACCAGAAGACAGGGATTGGGAGGCGAGGCGCGCAAGGTTCATGAACGGCGTTTTACATTTTGAAACTACCAGTGTTGAAAGACGCCTCACCGATTTTCTCGATTATCAGAAGCTGATCAACAGTGCCGATGAAGTAGAGGTTGAAACGGACAAGATTACGTTGATGACGCTCCACGCAGCAAAGGGAACGGAGTTTCCGGTCGTGGTCATTATCCTAGGACTAGAGGACGGACATTCCCGATTCGACGCCCAGACCAGCCACTATCGGAACTTGAGGAGGAACGCCGCCTGTTCTACGTCGGTATGACCCGCGCTCAAGACCGGCTTTACCTCACGTCCGTCAGACGCCGCAGGAGTGACTATGAGCGAGGCAGCTCAATGTTCCTCCGCGAAATCCCATCCAACCTCATCGAACATTGGCACCGTGGTATGAAGCGAAGAAGATAAAGGCTCACCCACTCAGCCCTCAAATCCGCAAACTCCCCTCATGAAGAACCCACCGCTCATCAAAATGCACGGTATCACCAAACGCTTTGGCACAGTGCTGGCGAATGACGGGGCAAATTTCTCGTTACGGTATGGCGAAATCCACGCCATCGTCGGGGAAAACGGTGCCGGCAAATCGACGTTGATGAAGAATCCTCTACGGACTCTACCAGCCGAACGAGGGAGAGATTTACTTTCGGGATGAGCCGGTTAACATCAACAACCCACGTACTGCTATTAAACTCGGCATCGGCATGGTGCAGCAGCACTTCACACTTATCCCTGCATTGACTGCTCTCGAAAATATCGTCCTAGCAAAAGAGCCACGTCGATTCAAAACCCTTCTCGATACCGCGACAGCGCATCGTGCCATCACAGGGCTCGCTGAACAACTCGGTTTCCATCTCGACCTGAATGCGAAGGTGGAATCCCTCCCGATTGGCGGACAGCAGTATGCGGAAATCCTCAAAGCCCTTTATCATGGTGCAGAGACCTTAATCCTTGATGAACCGACAGCGGTCCTTGCGCCGCAGGAGGTTACTGGGCTATTTGACTGTCTGCGCGGGTTGAAAGCGGAGGGAAAGAGCGTTATTCTGATTACTCACAAACTCGGTGAAGTCATGGCGGTTGCCGATACAATTACGGTGATGCGTAGTGGCAAATCTGTTGCATCACTTCCCAAAGCGGAAACGGATGCCGCCAAATTGTCCGAGTTGATGATTGGCAAGAAAATTTTCAACAGTATAACAACTCAGAAAAGATCCGATAAACCTAGCGAACCTATGCTGCATCTGGAAGGTGTCACGCTTCGCGCCAAGAACGGACGCGCCCCTGTTAGATGGGGTTGGTCTCGACGTTTTCGCAGGGGAGATTGTAGGGATCGCAGGGGTGGAGGAAACGGACAAAACGAACTTATTGAGGTACTGACAGGATTGCGGAAAAGCGATAGCGGCACCATCACGCTCAATGACGAGTCGATTGTGAACCGATCGCCGGCTGAGATTCGACGGAAGCGTGTGGTGCATCTGCCCGCCGACCGCCATCGGCACGGCATCAGTCTCGATGACCGGGTTGATGAAAATCTGATTCTCGGCAGCCACAATCAACTTCCATTTTGCCGGCATGGACTGATAAAACAGAAAGCTGCCCATCAATTTGCAGATGACATGATTGAAAAGTACGAAATCCGTGCCGGGGGTGTAAATCTTCCAATTCGGACCCTCTCCGGCGGCAATCAGCAGAAGGTAGTTGTGGCGCGCGAGTTGGAAGGCGATCCCGAACTAATCATTGCAGCACACCCCACGCGCGGGCTGGACATCAACGCCGCTCAGTTTGTGCATCAACAGTTGATCGACGCCCGAAACCGGTCCAAGGGTATTCTACTCATCTCCGCCGATTTGGAGGAACTCTTGAGCCTGAGCGACCGAATTGCGGTTATGTATAATGGGCGAATTACCGGTATTCTTCAGCCATCGGAGACAAACGAATCGCAGCTTGGAGAACTGATGCTTGGGTGACTCAACATCAATTTATCAGGACTTACGCATTTCAGCGCGGGGCAAGTCCGAGAGGATCCCGTGACCGGGGATGCCCCGCCTACAGTTGGCTGCGTAAGTCCTATTTATGATAACAGGAATTCCAATATGAATATAGTTCAGGTTGAAAACGTTAGTAAGCACTTTGGAGAATTCAAAGCCGTTGACAACGTTTCCTTTAATATTGAAAAAGGATCTGTGTACGGCTTGCTGGGGCCCAACGGTGCTGGGAAAACGACCACTATCCGAATGATTATGGATATCATTGCGCCGGATTCAGGGCAGATTATCTTCAGCGAAAATCAGCAGAGCAGAGATTTTGCAGACCAAATTGGCTATCTGCCAGAAGAGCGAGGACTTTATCGAAAGATGAAGGTGAAGGACGTGATCCTGTTCATGGCGGAGTTAAGAGGTATGAATCGTACAGATACCTTCAATGAGATAGATCGGTGGCTCCAGAAGATGGATTTGACCGAGTGGAAAAATAAAAAGATCGAAGAGCTATCGAAGGGCATGGCGCAGAAGATCCAATTTATCGCCACCGTTATCCACAAACCTGAGTTAATTATCCTCGATGAACCCTTCTCCGGTCTGGACCCTATCAATATGACGCTGCTGAAAGATCTGATGCTTGAGACTTAACGCCGATGGTGCGACCATTATTTTCTCTACACATATTATGGAACAGGCTGAGAAGTTGTGTGAAAAGATTTGTCTGGTAAACGCCGGCAAAATTGTACTGGAGGGGGATTTGAGAGAAATCAAAAAATCCTTCGGCAAAGGTTCGGTGGAGATTGAATATTCTGGAGATGTTGACTTAATTAAAAACTCCCGATTTGTCGCAAAGATGTAATGATTTTGGTCAATATGTAGAGGTCAAGCTAAACGCCCCGGAACACTATAGCGCTCTCTTGCGGGAACTCGTCGAAGCATCGGTGAACATCACTCGATTTGAACTGATGGAACCCACACTTCATGAGATATTCGTTCAAAGCGTGAAAGGGGAAGGAGGGATACCAAATGCAGCATAAGGTCATTACAGTCATCAAGAGAGAATACATAACGCGAGTCAAAACGAAGGGGTTTTTGGCATCGATCCTATTGATGCCGGTGATGATGTTTATTGTGATGGTACTCCCCAGTTCTGATGATGACGTACAAGCATAAATCCGATGAGATTAAAACCTTTGTCGTTTTCGATGAAACAGGCGAGATCTTCTCCAAAATGCAGGATGCCCTTGATGAAAATCCGTTTTTCCATCATAAAGGGAAGCGAGTGTACCAAATTGATTGAGAAACCCTCAGATTTCAACGGCAATGTAGACGCAAAAAAACAACTTAATCAGCAGCTTGAGGCGAAGGACATTCATGGATATATCGAAATTCCACAAGATGTCTTTGAACACCTCCGGGTCAACTATTACGCGAAAAATATCACAAACTTTGAGGTACAAGGTGCTTTCAGCGGGGTCATTTCTCGAATCGTCACCAACAAACGACTTGAGGAAAAAGGGTACGCTGCACACGAAGTCAGAGACCTGATGCGACGGATCCGCTTTACGGAGTACGCCGTCACCGCAAAAACAGACATGGTCGAAGGTGAGGAAACAACGAAAGTCGAAAGCAAAGAAGAGACCATGGTTAAGCTAGGGCTGACCTACGTCTTGACTTTTTCCTTATATTTTTACGCTGTTATACGGTGCCTCGGTGATGCGAAGTGTGCTTGAAGAGAAAACAACCCGCATTGTGGAAGTGATTATCTCTTCTATCAAGCCCCATCAATTACTGTTAGGAAAAATCATTGGCGTCTGTTTGGTATGCCTCACTATGTTCTTGATATGGGGCGGTTGCGCCGTTCTACTATTGATGAACATCAACCGATTTTGGGACTATTTGGAATACAGGGACTACCACCGCAGTTCATTGAAATCACCGATATTATCAAATCAACGGGAGCATCAGCGTTTCTGTATTTTCTGATCTATTTTGTATCAGGCTTCTTTCTCTTTTCCACCCTCTATGCTGTTGCTGGTGCAATATGTAACAGCGAAGAGGAAGCACAACAGGTCGTAACCCCTCTCGTGATGCTGTTAATCCTTCCTTTTATGTTGATGTTCGGTCTATTTCGCGCACCAGACGCGACATTGACCGTAGCCCTTTCGCATATCCCATTCTTTTCTCCGCTTATTATGTTTATGAGAATCAACGTGCTCACTCCGCCGTTATGGGAAATTTTACTCAATATTGCTGTTATGATTGCGACAATCTTCGGGGCAATCTTGGTCATGGGAAAAATATACAAAATCGGCATACTGATGTATGGTAAACGCCCGACGGTACGCGAGCTGTGGAGGTGGCTGCGCTATTAGGAGGGAACTGGATTGGTGCGTTACGTTGTAATCCCTAAAATGGCGAGGGATAGAGGGGCAAGCTGCTGACCGCTAGTCCTTCTTCGGTGTGTACAACATAAGCGTACCGATCTGTTTATATCCCACAATTGGATACAGTTTAGCGCCCGCGTGGCTAGCGGTGAGAACCGCCAATTTCGAGCCATGAGCGCGATCGTCACGCAGCATCTGAGCCATCATCGCACGAGCAATGCCACGACGACGGAACTCCGGCACCACATACATATCAGCGCACCAAGTCGCCTGCTCTACATCAATGCTGCGAACCCATCCCACCGGTTTATCATCAACTAGCGCGACGTATTGACGCAATGGCGAATCTTTCGCCAAATGTTCGGGCAGGACTTGGCGCGACCTTGCCGCTTTATTCACCCGCTCTGCCAAATCCGCTGTAGTGACCCGCAAAATCTCTACAGGGCTGTCGAAGCGCGGAATCCGTTTCAACTCATGCACCATTATAGGCTCGGTCCCTCCAAGTCTATAGTTGAGTGCTTTGAAACCCTCCCGTAGCAGCTGATCAGATTCGTTAACACCGTAAATCGCACATACGGCGAATCGACCCCGCGTGTGTTTGCAGGCAGTCTCATCGATTTCCTCTGGTGTTACCCCGTATGCAATCCATTCCTCTCTGCGGTACTCCCCGCGTTTTCGTGGAGCATCGCGTACCACCCAAATTTGCCCAACCCGTTCTGCCAGATAGGGATGCGTGAGGCTGCGCGTAAAACAGAATCCACGTGCGAATACCTCAATTGCATGATGTAGTAAATCAATTTCCTTCCCCATATTTCCCCCAGATTAGTGATCGCAGTTTTATAGGGTAAACATTATCGCTCCAATACATCCAGAGTAGACTTCAAGCGACGGTCATGATCCGCATACTGTTTTAGCCATTCAGTGACTGTTTTGCCGTCCGAGAGCCGTGCTTGTAAATCTGCACCTTTTTCTACCAGAAACTGCGTCGTCTCTACATGCCCATGACCGGCTGCACAGTACAGGGGAAAATGGCTATTATCCGTTGTCGCATTGACATCTGCACCGCTGCTGACTAACTGCTTTACAATTTCCAAGTCGACCGTTCGAGCAGCATGGTGCAAACGCTGTATCGCCATGGGCATAGCGTTCTTCGACTAACTCTGAGTTATCACGAAGCATTGCGTTCACCCGTTCCACATTGGCTAAGAACACTGCGTATATGAAACTGGCGCGCAATTTCGCTTGACGGTTTGGTCATGTGCGTCCAACCCTCCATACGAAACGAGTAATGATACGACTTCCTTATTGTTTGGCACCTCTCCAGCGTAGTGAATCGCATACCCGTCATGAGCCGCCAAATCGGCACCACAGTCTATTAGAGTATTAACCACATCATAATGCCGTCTTAATCCGGCATGAAATATCGGCGCCATTTATATTGGTCATCTTGGTTGACCAGTCCGGGATCTTGTTCAAGGATTTTCTTTACCGCATCAAGATCGCCGTTGGCTGCTGCATCGTGAATTGAACCGAGTTCCATATCTGTCTCCATGTGTACGATTAATTGTGTTTTGAAAAATAACTGAAGGTGATTCAAAAAAATAAACGGATCATATACCAAAAATGGCATCAAAAAAGTTAAGATTCAACTTTAGTCGTTGAGGGCGATGAGCTTGCAACTATACTAGAGTCTCATACCAAAATCTTATGGGCTATTTATGGGAATCTACAATAACTTGGCATTGAGGTTACTCTCCGCTCTCCTTTTTCTCTCTCTTCGCTGCCTCTTCGCTATCCGCGCCTTCTTGCTCTCCTCACACTCCCTGTAGGAGGGAACTCCGATCCCGACTATCAAAGATCAGTCGCGATTAGGAGATACGCTCCTACAGAATCGGTGTCAATATATTTTTATAATTCACTATAGTTTTCGGTTTTTCTCTCTGTCTGGCGATGGGTCGGGAGGCCGGAGATCCATATTCGTTCCGAGAGTTTCAACCTACAGGAGAATCTATGGTTAGATTTTAGAATTACTTAGACCCTCCCAAGGCACAGCCAACCCCCTAATACCCCCCAACCCCTCTTGATAAGAGGGGAAAGATAAGGACAGAAGATCCCTTATCTTCTCCCCTTGTCAGGGGAGTTGCAGGGGGGACTTGGAAACTTCGTGAAGGTCTGAGTAATTGTAGATGTCTACTTATTTCTCTAATTCACCATAAATGCCCCTAGGAACCTCGTCAGATAAATTATGTTGAAGTATTAGGATAAAATCGGTGGAACTTCTGCCGTGCCTGATTGAGAGTAAACTGCCAGTTGACACTCGCTTTTTTTCGATTCCGTGCTTCAGCCCAAGCAGTGACTTGTTGGTCCAACTCCGAAAGTTCACCGATACGGCGAGAAAGACACTGTTTTGAAAGCACAGACAGTTCAATCTCGACCATGTTCAACCACGACCCCTTTTTGGGGGTGTAATACATCTCAAACCGTTGAGTCAACTCAAAGGCTGCAGATGCTTCAAAGGTTTGATAGAATGACGACGGATTATGGGTGTTGAGATTATCCTGAACCAACCGAATCTTGGTGGCGTTTGGGTAATGTTGAGCCACCTGCTTCAAAAAGTGTGCATAATCTACCTTGGTTCGACGGGCTCGTAATTCCACGATGCGTTTGCCGGTCAGTGGCTCAAAGGCGATGAATAGGCTTGCCACACCGTTGCGCTTGTAATGGTAGTCCTGTCGTCTGGGTTTGCCCGGTTCCATGGGTATGGGGGCAATGCTATCGTCAATCAACTGGCAAGGTCTTTCATCGAAACAGACCACCGGATACATCGGGTCATAAGGGAGTTGATATAGATGTAAGAGGGTTTCCATCTGCCACAAGAAGTCAGGTGTCAATTCACCGATACACCATTGCTTTTTCAGGTGAGGCTTCAATTGGTTTTTTTTAAGATGACCCCCACCGTTTCATGGGAGATAGCCTCAACTACACCTAACTCCACTAATTGGTCGGCTAGCAACCTCAGAGACCATTGGCTCTGTCCTTCTGGGGGAGTACTGCAAGCTAAGGCAGTGACTTGTGCACGCTGGTATCCATCGAATGTCAGCGGTCTGCCACAACGGGACAACTCTTCAATAGCAGCCTCTAAGCCACAGGTGGCAAACTTTTTTCGCACCCGGATAACCGTCGCTTGACTCACATTCAGGATTTGATGAATCTGATTGTCATTCATTGCCCCTTGAGGCCGGTTTTGGTCTGCCAGTAGCAGGATATGGGCGCGAGCTAACTTTCGGGCAGAAACTTGTCCACGCTGCGACAATGCTTTGAGACGCTTACGTTGCTTGGCGGATAAAACTACTTTATATTTTTGGACACGCATTGGATACTCCATTCCATGAGAGTCAATTGTATCTGAACCAATAAATAGATTGGAATCCAATGATAACATAACAACATAAAAATTGCAAAAATTGTCTGACAGTGTACTAAAAAAAATAGATTAAAGAAGATGCCTACTACTAGCAACCTACGACAACAAGTCAGGTTTCCTTAACCGGTAACCTACGAGGGGAAGGGGGTGGTATTGAAACTTTACGATTATACGGGAGATTCCGATAAAATCCGATTTCAAAGTAGGAAGTCGGGATTTCGGAGAAAGATACTCCCTCCTACAGGAGAATTAAACACCCCTATACCAAAATCAAGATGCTCTTTACATGTTCAGGATTTGATTGTATAATACCCACCATCTGAGATTCAGTCAGCAATGGTGCCATTGATGAGCTGCTATGGTATCCCCGTACCGATAGACTGAATGGCAATTCCCTTGCATCATCAAAAGCGATTTCATGAACTGCTCAACGGTTCAAATTAACTTAAATCGCAACCTATGATACGGAGGGATAGTAAAATGAGTGTCTTCAGTCGAATCTCCACAATCTTCAAAGCCAATGTGAACGAAGCGTTGACCAACGCGGAGGATCCGGAAAAGGTTCTCAATCAAATTACCATCGAAATGAAAGAGCAGCTTATCGATACGAAGCAGAAGGTAGCTGCCGCGATTGCCGATGAAAAACGTCTTCAGAGACAGTATCAGGAAACCGCCGAACAAGCCAAGGGTTGGGAAGAGAAAGCTACCACCGCTGTTCAGAAAGAACGGGATGACTTGGCGCGAGAAGCCCTCGCACGACGAAATGAGGCGCAGCAACTCGCAGATGAATATAAGATCCAGTGGGACAAGCAGCGACAGGCGGTTGATCAACTCAAGGAACACTTGAAAGCACTGGAACTGAAGATCGGAGAAGCCGATCGTAAGAAGTATCTGCTGATCGCACGTCAGAAACGCGCCAAAGCGCAAAAGCAGATTCACGAAACGATGGCGGGGATGAAAGATAGCAGTGCCTTTGACACCTTCGAGCGGATGGAGGAGAAGGTCGGTGATATGGAAGCAAGGGCGGATGCCGCCGCTGAAATGGCTGATTTTGAGAAGGATCATCTCGAAGATGAGTTTGCAGCGTTAGAGACGAAAGGCAACGTTGAGGATGATCTCGCAGCGTTGAAAGCAAAACTCGGAAACGGAGACGAGGCAGAGAAGTCGTCAAGTGTGGAGCGTGAAACGTAAGAAATGGGTGCTTTGTGCTTGGGTTCACGCTTTACGCACCGGTTTCCAAAACTGATACCGAAAGGAAAATTTCATGGCTGAACCCAAAGGCGAAGCATTTCGCGTCGTTCACGAAACTAAACCCAAACACACCTATCGTGGTGCAGTCGTCGGATGTGGTAGGATGGGCAGCACGATCGATGATGAACATATCGGAATGCCACACTACCCTTGGCCCTGGGCGCACGCCCCAGCAATGATTGAGGCGCGGGGGGTAGACCTCATTGCTGCCGCCGATGTGGATCAAGCAAAATTAGATGACTTCAAACGGCGTTGGGGGACTGAAGCCCTTTACACCGACTATCGAGAGATGGTGGAGAAGGAGCAGCCAGACATCGTCTGCTTAACCACCCGTCCCGAACCTCGTGCGGAGGTCACTATCGGCTTGGCGGAGGCAGGTGTCAAGGCGATCTATGCCACGAAACCGATGTGCCGCACCCTTGCCGAAGCGGACGCGATGATCGACGCCTGCCACAAGCACGGGACTATCCTCGCTATTGCGTGCCACCTCAACTGGTATAACTGGTACACAAACGCCCGTCAAGCAATCGCTGACGGCACCATCGGTAATTTGAGATCGATGATCTGCCACAGCCCATCCACCCTCTCGAATCTGCATAGCCACACGCTCGCGCTCTTTCGTCTATTTGCCGGTGCCCCAGCAAAATGGGTCTTTGGGGTAATGGACAGCGATGAAAGTGCGGCGGGAGATAGCGATCTCTCAGGATCGGGATATATCGTTTACGAGAACGGTGTCCGCGCTGTCATGAATACCCAAGCCGAAACTTCTGGGGAGAAATGGACGCTCGAATTTATCGGTGAGAGGGGACGTATCGTTTCACACAACGCCCACGCCCGGTTTGAGTTGTGGAGTACCCATCCAGAAACGGGTGGACCTATCCAATGTCAGTTCCCCAACCCTTGGCATCCACGGAGTTCAATGGTGGACGCAATCGAAGGTGTTTGTAAATCCCTAGAGGCTGGAGAAGAGCGAATCTGTCCGGGTGAATTTGGCAGGGAGGCGTTGGAGATTGCTATCGGACTACGCGAATCCCATCGCAGGGGCAATGTGCGGGTCGATCTGCCGTTGGAGGATCGGAGCCTTCGGATGGGTTAATTGGTGTGAAAAATATAAGCGTAACACATGAATTCCACAGCACTATGTATCGGTGAACGAAGGCAAAATTAAGTCACGGATAGGAGGGCCCAGCCAAAAACAGGGGGCAGCTATTAATAACCTAAGTTGCTAGTTGTAAAATCTGCTTGGCTTGGATAGACATATCCAAGCCATAACCGCAGCTCTTGCTATATACATTGCACTCCTCTGGAGCGCATGAATCGGTAGTATCGCGGTTCTATAGACATATCGCTCCTCTGGAGCGAAGGTTCCGTCAAGTTGTTAGGCTTTTGTGTATTTGGGTTGCTGAAGACGCGACAGCGTGGTGGTTACTTCGTTTGGTTATCCGTGTTTTCTGCCTAATCCATTTAATCCGTGATTCAGACAGTAATTATACACACCCCTCAAGTAATATTTTTCTTCTTAGAACGGGTTCTCGGGTGGAGTAGCATATCAATCGTAGCTAAAATCATCAGGTGCTTTCTGTTTCGCGATTATCTTGACAAGGTGATAGGCATATCTGCCCACATCCTGTATATAGGGTCCCCGGTCTTCCAATCTGACTTCAAGTATATAAATAAACCCCGGTTCAAAATCAAAACCTTCAACACCATCGAAGAAGAACCCCCAGCTACCCGAGTCCTCGTTGTACACCATCAGGCAGTCCTGTTCAAAAAAAGCACCATGACACCGCTGGGTGTAGGGACCAATCGTGATAATCTCGATATGCTCCTCGTCGCGATCAGACGGCAATAGTATATTTTCCACGCCACAAGCAGAGAGAAACAGCAAAGCAAATATCAGTAAAAATCTCATTTTCGCACCTTGTGAGGTGTTCAACACGAGCGCAGTCAGAGAGGTAAGCCCTCATAAGGGGTTCAGGCGTTTTCCTTAATCTCTAAATCACTATTTTTTTCTAGTATGAACTTGTTGAGGTCCCACCCCAGCATCGCGTTTAGCAGCCATTTCATTAGCGACCTGCTGCTGACTGGTAACTTGCGGCTGATTATCCCTCTTATAAGCGATAGCTGTAGGGACAGTAACAGCAACCACAATTAACGCCATAAGCGCAATCATCATAGTCTTTCATGTCACCAAGACGTTTATCCAACCCAGTAATCTGAGCATTTATAGTCTTCTCAGATTTGGCAATTTCATCGTTGACAATAGACCGAATGGCCTCTAAATCCTCTTTTGTCAATTCACCAAATGCCGAAAACCCGAAAGACAAGGCTAACAAAATCATTGCAACTAATACTTTCATGAGAAACACCTTTCCAATAAATTTGCTAGATTATCTCATAAGCTGCCACTTAAAGCCCCAGTTGCTCTGAATCCCGATCGCAGCATCGGAGCGGAGCGCAATATACGGTCTCTTTGCACGATTTCTTAACACGAGTCAAAGAATTATAACAGACCTTCTAGCCTTAGGCAAGTCCCGTCGGCGTTTTTTTGGGCAACTGCCTTGCCTCCACTATCCCCGCCGTCGCCTCCGCCGCGGCGTGGCACTCGCCGCTAACGGCACCATCATTTTTTCGTACAAGCCAAGCAGGTGTTCAACCCGCTCACGATCCGAGGAAAATGGAGAACGCCGGTAGAACTTATCAACGGCACCGTCCAAGGCACGGTGTGCCCTGCGGAGTTCAACAGGCATGAGATCGGGATGGTAGAGATCCGCCAAGGTCGCGTTGGGATGCGCGGCGCGAGCGGTAAGGACAGCATCAGCGTAAGGTTCGAGGCGTTGCAGTCGTTCCGCGGGAACCGGGGGCATCGGGAAGGTGTTATAAATAATGCCGATTCCGTATGAGAAGTCGCTTTTGAGTCGCCCACCGATATTCCTGACCCATGCCATGTGCATTGTAGATGTGAGGAGTCCAAACTGCCAAAGTGTGGCGTTTGGCAATATGCGTATCTTATTGCTCGGAATCACCGGCGGCTCCAGCCACGCAATCGGGATGTAGTCTCGTCGCTCAGAACTCACTTCTGGTATGACTAGAAACGGCGCGGTAGGAACGACGTTGACATGGTAGAGCGTCGGTGTTTCGGCAAGTGCCTGGGTAGGTCCGCTCCTGCTCGATAGCCGATAGGCGCGGACAGCAGCAATACGCTCACGTACCCTCGGCAGTGTCCTTAACACTTGAGGCTCCACATCAGCCAAGCGCAGTATCCACCTTTCTCCACCCTGTAGAAACTCGCGGCTTCCTACGAAGGGGCGCAGATACGGCTCGGCGTTGGGTTCCTCTTGCAGAAAGGCAGCGCGTTCATCGGCTTTGAAAATGTAGTGTCCCCCATCAATGGGTTTGGAGCCGATGATTAACTTAGGCAGCCCGTTGATCTGCTGAGACTCCTTCTTTACGACAACCCGCGGATCACTCAGTCCACTGGCATCAAACAGATAGGGTGAGAGGACGGTGTGCAGGCTTTCGTGTGGCTCACCGCTGGGGGTGTCGTAGGAAAACAGTCGCTTCTCCTGCGGTGCGTCACCACGTTTTGCCAACCCAATAATAACGACGTGAACGTGCGCCATGCCGCGGGCGTCCGAACCCCAAGCGAAGGTGCGGTGGGCAAAGGCAATCTCTAGAGCGCAACGGTCAAACAGGAGGGGCCAAAGTGCGCCACCTGTTCGCCTTGGGTGATGGAATTGGTTGCCACAAAGCCGATCTGCGCTTCGCTCTGCTGGATGTATTCACCCTGCCTTGATAAACCACGCGGTCACATAGTCGAGGGTGCCGCCGCTTCTGCCCAGTGCAGCGATGTTGCGCACCTGTTCGCGCTGTCTCTGTCGATTGAACTTCGCCCCCACAAACGGCGGATTGCCAAGCACATAGGAACATTCCTCCGGCGGCAGCAGTGTCCGCCCAATCAAACTCTCAGTGCGTCGCCGTGTCTGATATGCGGTGACTTTTCTAACGGAATCCGCGCATAAATCTGTCCAAACTCTAAGCTTAGGCGGTTGTTCATGATGTGGTCCATCATCCACAGGGCAACCTCGGCGATATGCGCGGGAAACTCACCCAACTCAATCCCATAGAATCCATCCACATCAACCACTGAAAGCGACTGCGCGAGCAGGTCAAGTTGACCGTGCGGACGGATCTCTTTTAACACCTCTATCTCCAACGTCCGCAATTCACGGTAGGCGATGATCAGGAAGTTGCCACAGCCGCACGCTGGATCAAAAAAGCGTGACCGACCGAGTTTATGCTGAAAGGCGATCAGTGCAGGGAGGCGACGGTTGTCCCTGCGCTCTCGGAGGCGTTGAAACTCGGCACGTAACTCGTCGAGGAAAAGCGGCTCGATTACCTTGAGGATATTCTTCTCAGTGGTGTAGTGCGCGCCTTGGGCACGGCGTTCATCCTTGTCCATCACCGACTGAAAAAGCGAACCGAAGATCGCTGGGGAGATTTCTGACCAATTGAAGTGGCAAGCGTCAATGAGCCGCTGGCGCATCTCGGAATCGAATGACGGGATGCGCAGCGGCTCGCGGAACAGATCGCCGTTGACATAGGGGAAGCGGGTGAGGTCTTCGTCGAGGATTCTGGAGCGATGGTCTACGGGCATGTTGAGCACTTGGAACAGTTGTGCTAACCAACCGCCGAGGTCTGAGCCATCTTCCCCCGTCCGGTTCTCTAACAGATCGAGAAAAATGTCGCGTGGCTCGAAGATGCCGGTGTCGTCAGCGAAGAAACAGAAGACGATGCGGACTAGGAATTGTTCCAGATCGTGACCCGTATAGCCGGACTCAGCCAGCGCGTCGTGGAGTTGACCAACGCGCTCGGAGGCTTTGATATTGACCGGATCCTGATCCTTGAAAGATCGCTTCTGCACCCCCAAGATGAAGCCAATTTTTCGACATGTTCGGGCAGGTCAGCGAGATCAAAAGCAACACTTTCATTTTCGTCGAGGTCGTATAACTCAAAGGTTTGGAAATCGCTCAGGAGGAGGTAGCGTGGCAGGTCAGCGTCGTTGATACCGGGGAAGTAAGCGAAACGCTTGGTCTCTGGCTTCTGTTAGGTCGCGTCCCGCACTTTTCTGCTCACGAGGAGCACACCTTTCCAAAACAGATCAATAAAGCCGTACTTATTGTCGAGCAGTTTAACGTGTTCCTCAAACGAGGCAACCCGGCGCACGGACAGGTCAAAAATGTCGAAAAAGTCCCGGTAGAAAAGCTGGGTTTGCCCTTTTTCGTAGCCTGCATCCGCCCATTCCTGAGCGAATGCGGCGGCGCGGGCACGGATTTCATTCCATGATAAGCGCATGTTATTGAGTATTTCTTTTCAGTTAGGTCGATTTTGGAATATCGCTCCACAGAAGTCCTGAGTTGTTTCAAATATATCAGGGTTGATTCAATTTGTCAAATAGCTAGGGCGTGTTGACATTTGTGAAACTGTCTGTAATCGTAGGGGCGAGGTTCCCTCGCCCATTGACCAACGGGGGTTGGAACCCCCAAACCATACAGGTTGAATTGATTGTAGATTGTAGGTCTATATTCATATCTCGACACTAAAACGTCGATTTTGGAAAATCGACCTACAGAAGCCCGAAATCGTTTCTGACGTGTAAACAAAGGGTTGGGAGACCCAACCCCTACGAAGGGTCATGCGTCTGTGCGTCTCCCTTGATCGTCTCGTTACGATGAAATGTCAACAGAATCTAGGTAAATTTTATAGCAAGGAAGGGGCAGCTGGTGACATCAGGAAGTAACCCGCAATAGACGTACTTACTATTAACGGTTGGAAAAAAGGTGGGGTTTATTGAGAGAGAAAATGGAGGGTAAAGAAAATCTTTACCCTCCATATCTGTCTGTAATTTCAGACGTTTAGTACATACCGCCCATCTCACCACCACCGGGAGGTCCTGCCGGCATCGGCGGTTCCTTCTGAGGAATGTCTGCGACCAATGCCTCTGTGGTGATCATCAGACCAGCGATGCTGGAAGCATTCTGAAGAGCAACACGGACCACTTTGGTCGGATCGATAACGCCTGCGCTGAACATATCGTTGAATTCATCTCTCAGGGCATCGTAACCAACGCTGTCGGCTTCATCTTTCACTTTCGCGAGGATGACCGAATCTTCTTGACCCGCATTGTGTGCGATCTGACGAAGTGGTTCTTCGAGGGCGCGGCGTACAATATCAACACCGACCTGCTCGGTCTCGTCATCGAGGCTGAGATCATCAAGTGCAGATGATGCACGGACAAGTGCAACGCCTCCGCCTGCAACAATACCTTCCTCAACGGCTGCACGGGTTGCGTGCATAGCGTCTTCAACGCGCGCCTTCTTCTCTTTCATCTCAACTTCGGTCGCTGCGCCAACGTTGATGACAGCAACACCACCGGCGAGTTTCGCAAGGCGTTCTTGCAGTTTCTCGCCGTCGTAATCGGAAGTCGTGTCCTCAATCTGGTTACGAATCTGATTGATTCGACCTTGGATGGCTTCGGTGCTACCCCCACCTTCGATAACGGTTGTGTTGTCTTTGTCGATGACAACCCGCTTTGCCTGACCGAGATCGTTCAGGTCGATGTTTTCGAGCTTAATTCCGAGGTCTTCGGAGATGACGCGTCCATTCGTGAGGATAGCGATATCTTCGAGCATTGCGGTCCGGCGGTCACCGTAACCGGGGGCTTTGACAGCTGCGCCACGGATGGTTCCGCGGATCTTGTTGACTACCAAAGTGGCTAGCGCTTCACCTTCAACATCCTCTGCGATGATAAGGAAGGGTCTGCCTTGTTGAGCGACTCGCTCAAGCATCGGTACGAGGTCTTTGAGCGCGCTAATTTTCTTCTCATGGATGAGGATATACACTTCCTCAAGCACGGTTTCCATACGGTCGGGATCGGTGACAAAGTAGGGCGACAGGTAGCCACGATCGAACTGCATACCCTCGACCACATCAAGTGTGGTTTCAAGGCTCTTGGCTTCCTCGACGGTGATAACGCCGTCTTTGCCCACTTTTTCCATCGCGTCTGCAATCAGGTTTCCAATCTCGCCATCGTTATTGGCAGAGATAGAAGCAACCTGTGCGATTTCTGTTTTCTCGGAAGTCTCTCGACTCATGCTTTGCAAACGCTCTACAACTACTTCAACCGCTTTCTCAACGCCACGCTTGAGTGCCATCGGATTACGACCTGCAGCAACGTTCTTCAAGCCTTCACGGTAGATCGCCTGCGCCAAAATGGTAGCCGTCGTTGTTCCATCACCGGCAACATCGCTGGTTTTGGAGGCAACTTCCTTCACCATCTGCGCACCCATATTTTCATACGGATCTTCAAGTTCGATCTCTTTTGCAACGGTTACACCGTCTTTGGTGATTGTCGGCGCGCCGAACTTCTTATCGAGAACAACGTTTCTTCCTTTTGGTCCCAAAGTTACTTTTACAGCATTCGCAAGCGCGTCAACCCCACTTTTAATCTGGTTACGGCGCGCTTTCATCAAATGCGATTTGTTTTGCCGCCATTATTATTCCTCCTAATTCTCTCTAATTCCCAAATTAGCTAATCTTTGCCAAGATGTCATCTTCGCGTAGAATCAGCAACTCTTCATTGTCATACGTTACTTCAGTACCAGAGTATTTCCCAAACAGGATTTTGTCTTCAACTGCAACGTCAATGGGTTGCCGGTCACCATTGTCAAGCAAGCGACCTTGCCCAACAGCGATGACTTCGCCCTTCTTGGGGTTTCTCTTTCGCAGTGTCAGGGATAATAATCCCGCCACTGGTTGTCTGCTCATCTTCTTCAGTACGTCGGATTAAAATCCGATCGCCTAACGGCGTGAGTGCCATATCTTAATCTCCTTGTTCGTTAAGGTTAGAATCAACAATATTGATACAACACGCGTATCATATGCAATAGATATGCCACCCTGCTATTACTGGGTTCTTTGCCTATCAATGACATTTTGGCACACTTAGAATCGAGACAAAATGTCATTGCGCCTCTATTTTTGCCGCCTTCGTGCCATTTTGTCGCTACACTTCTTCAGCCATTTGACTAGCTCCACCGAACACGAAGACGGTTCTGCCTGTCCGATCTGATTCGTAAGCAGCTGCAAGAATCGCATTGGTACGCAGCCCATCTATCCCTGTGACAATCGGCTGCTCTCCTTCAGTCACACACCGGGCGAAATGCTCAAATTTGGCTTTGGTATAGGTCTTCAAAGTGGGAGTCGACGATTTGAGACTCGCCGTTGGAAGAGAGCTTAATCTTCCAACCATCATCATTATAGACCCACACCCACCCATCGGTGCCGTATATTTCGATGACAAGATCGCACCCCGCAGCAGCGAAACTGGTGTCAACGAACCCCTGAGCCCCATTCTCAAAACGCATCATGATCATCCCAGTCTCTTCAACATCGTATCCATGGAAAACAGTGTTGCAGAATGCGCTGACCTGACCCACCTCTCCAAGGATATAACGTAAGAGATCTACTCCGTGTGCCCCGAGATCCATCAGTGAACCACCGCCGCCCTGATTCGGGTTGCCACGCCACGCCCCCGGCGGGATCGGAAAAGGTTTAAGAAACGGCACCCGCCCTTGGACAATTCCTCCCAAACGTCCTTCCGCTACCCAGTTCTTTATCCCCTGAAAACAGGAGTGAAAGCGAAACAGGAAGCAGATTTGCAGATGCACACCGTTCGCTTGGCAAGCATCAATCATCCGTTGGCACTCCTCCGTATTCATCGCCATCGGTTTATCACAAAGGACATGGAAACCGCGTTCCGCGGCTTTGATGACCTGTTCACAGTGAAGATATACAGGCGTTGAAACATAAATTGCGTCCAACGCTTCGTCTGACAGGAGTTCACTGACCGTTGTGTAATATGTCCGTGCACCATGCTCTGTCGCAAGCCGTTGGGCCCGCCCTCCATCTCTAGAAAGCAGCGCATAGAGTTCCGCATCTTCCGCTTTAGTTATCGCCGGCATAGCCCGGCGTTGCGCAACGCTTCCCGCGCCAAGCACTCCCCATTTTAATGCCATGTTGTACTCCTCAGTAATCGGCAATCCAAAAAATTGGAAACCACCGACACCTCATCGAAAATTGGATCTAAATCTTACCTATTGGTATGTCTCGTCCCGTTTTTTGGAATTAATATTGCCTGTATCGAATTTTTCTGTTGAGAATCACGGAATAAATTGGTATAATAGAAGGTTGTATTCTAAGAAACCGCACTTGAGATTTTGGTAAGGCAGGTCTCAGAACATTTTGCATTCATGATTATCTGTGTTTACACTTTCTGCACAACCTGCCACTATTTGCTAAAATCCCAAGAATCGAAAGGGGGGTAGGTTTAATACAATGATCCATGTCAGAGTAGAACCGGACGAAACAATCGATCGAGCCCTTGCTCGCTTCAAGAAGATATGCGGCAAAGCAGGTATCGTCACGGAAATCAGACGACGCAGTTTCTACGAGAAGCCGAGCGAAAAACGTCGCCGCCTAGAACTAAAACGGCAACGGAAAAATAAGATTCGCACTTTTCACACCAAATAACAATAGGTCAAAGACTCCTCCGATTCATCGGAGTCCCCGGAACGGAATCGGAACAGAGGAGCTGACCTGACCTGATTAGCGTTGCACCAGTAATTTTACATCGAAATCAGAAGGCATATATATTTCTCACGAATCATTTGTAGATGTCTCATTGGGAAAATGTATATGCCTTTTTTGTTGTCATCTTTCGCCTTCACCATGACACGCTCACAATAATTGTGGTAGAAACGAACGGGTAAAGCAACAGAAGCTACCTGCTAGCAGGCTTGCGGCGGAAACGATCGTACTTCGCATCGACTAGAAAATCCTTGAGATATATACGCTCACCATCGAGCTGATCAGAAGCGTTTGCACCAAGCACCGCGGCAAGGCTATTCATGCTACTAGCGAAGGTACTCCGAAGCTGCCCTGAATCCTCCATCGCAATCGCGCGGAGAAAAGCGCGGCTGATCTGCTCTGTTGGGTCCACGCGAGGGGACGTCGGGAGTAGATGGCGAACTGCTTCCTGCGACGGTGTCTGTGCCGGTGGATATGTGCCATCGTAGTAGTAAGCCACCACATCATTTCCCTCAAACTTCAGATGCCCGTGTGTCCAGAGTATACTCTCATACCCGTCGCTATAGTAAGTTTGGCGCAGACGGGACAGGATGAGATTGGCAATGCAGCCACACTCAAAGCCGTATCTTACGCTGTAGGCATACGGATTATTCCCCCCATCAACGATGTCCGACGCGTCACGGTGGACATAATTCGCCTCAACCCATGAAATGTCACCGAACCAATACCGCATCAGATCCGTTTGGTGAATCCCCCCTTCCACAACGGTCGCCCCAGACCACTCGTAGTTTGCCGTCCAAACACGATTGGCGGGTCCCCCCAATGTTTCAGTTTTGGTATGCTTGATTGAATGACCTTCAAGTGCGCCATTTCCTATAATAGTGCTCATTACCGGTTGTTTATCTGCAAGAAAATTGTGGACGGCTTCGTAACGCGAATCGTACCGCTGTTGGAACCCTGCTGTGGAAATAACGCCGTTTTCCTGTATCGCACGCTCCATGTCAATGGCTTCGTTCAGGTATAGGCTCATCGGTTTCTCAGCGAAAATATGCACCCCCGCATTTACCGCTTGGATAATCTCGCCGTTGTGTACCCCCGGCGGCAAGGCGAAATAGATCGCATCCAGCGACAGTGCAGCGAGAGTCTCCCCGAAATCTGTCGTGGTGTGGATGCCATCAATTTGAAACCCATCCACATATCTCTGGATTTTCGCCTCTGCAAGGTTGTCCTCAAAAGCGTCGATTAACGCTGCAATTTTGACAAGTCCCTCGCCTTGAAGTTTCCAAAGGGCTTTCAAATGCTGAAGTCCGCGTTGTCCGAGACCAATAATTGCAACGCGAATTGGTTGACTCATAAAAATTCCCTTTCCTTAAAAATAACCCAAGTTGCTAGTTGATAAACCAAGCGTCAGAAACCGACGCAATAGTCGGGAATTGGCATTCCCTCTCCGTTCCGAGAGTTTTCAACCTACACATTTCGTGTTTTGCGTTGCGTTCGGTTTATCAATCCCGCTCGGCTCCGACTTCGCCGAGAGTCCAAGACCCCGATAAGATCGGGATTCAAAGCGACCTGGGTAAACATATCCAAGCCATTTGGGATGAGCGTATGCTTCTTAGTCCCGATCCCATCGGGGTAAATCATCTGATCCCCCTTGCGCGTGTGCAGTGGATTTGTCAATCCACTGCGAGCGGCAATCGATTCCCTTCCCGGTTTGCAACGTTTCCTGTAACTGGCAACTTTCCTTAAAAATAGGTGCTACGCTTTGAAGATCTCGTTGACTTTTTCTAACCCGTCCCATGCGGCAGCAAAGCCAGCATACGCGGCGACTTGAAAAAAGACTTCAATGATTTCCGCCTTCGTTGCGCCGTTATTCAGTGCCATTTGAACGTTCAGTTCTAGGGCATTCACTCGACCTAACGCCGCTAAAATCGCAATACTACAAAGGCTGCGTGTTCTTAAATCTAAGTTGGGGCGGCTCCAAATTTCACCGCCGACAACTCCCATCACGCACCTTTCAAAATCCGGAGATAACGACCTAAATTTCTCTCTCAACTCGTCTATTTTATTAGTGCCAACCATTTTTGAAAACTGTTCAACACCTTTTTGATATTGTTCTTCAAGCATTTTGCTTTTCTCCTTCAATAATTTGACAGCGAAGGTACAACTAAAGGAAATCAAAATCACAGCCCAAGTGTGCCTGCTCAATGTGCTGGGTATATAGCAACCCATAGCCTCGCTGGAAGTGTGGTTCAGGCAGAACGAGCTGCTCCTGCCGCTTGGCTAATACTGTGTCATCAACCAACAATTCCAACCGTTTGTTTGGGACATCCAACTCAATCAGATCGCCCTCCTCCACCAGCGCGAGAGGTCCGCCGATAGCCGCTTCGGGAGCGATGTGGAGTACAATCGTGCCGAATGCCGTCCCACTCATCCGGGCGTCGGAGATGCGAACCATATCTTTAACGCCAGCCCGCAGGAGTTTTTTCGGGATCGGGAGGTAGCCCGCCTCCGGCATCCCCGGCCCACCAATGGGTCCCGCGTTCTGCAGAACGATGATGTGCTCTGGGGTGACGGGTAAATCGGGATCATCAATGCGGTTGTGTAGATCTTCCAGCGACTTAAAGACGACCGCCGGTCCCCGATGTGTCAGTAGATCAGGAGAAGCAGCCGAACGCTTAATCACCGCTCCCTGCGGCGCTAAGTTCCCAAAGAGGCTGGCAAGCGTACCAGATTCAAATAGTGGTGCCGTTCTAGGCTTGATGACATCCTGCCACGCTGCTGGATGAGGCACCGCCGAGAGGTTCTCTCCGATGGTACTCCCTAGCACCGTCTGGGCATCTCGATGGAGAACATCTTCGAGGGCTTTCATCACCACCGGGATTCCACCCGCCTTAAAGAGATCTTCCATATAATACTCACCGCTCGGTTTGAGATTTACTATGACCGGAGTCTCATCGCTGATCTGATCAAAGTCCGTGAGTTTAAGTTTAATGCCAAGTCGCCGCGCAATCGCTGTCAAGTGGATGACACCATTTGTTGAACCACCAATCGCCATCAGGAGACGGATCGCGTTCTCGAAAGATTGTTGCGTCAAAATCTTCGACGGACGGAGATCGTTTTTAATCATTGAGACAATTGTTCTACCCGTCGCTTCCGCATGACGACGCCGCTCTGACATCACCGCAGGGATAGCGGCACCGCCGGGCAACATCAGTCCAAGCACCTCCGCCAACGCCGCCATTGTGCTGGCTGTGCCCATTACCATACAAGTTCCTGTGCTGGAACACAACCGACTCTCAATCTCAGCCACCTCGTCTGCGTTCAAACGTCCAGCGCGATATTCGCCCCAGAATCGGCGGCAGTCGGTGCAAGCCCCCAGTCGTTGCCCTTGATAATCCCCGGCGATCATCGGTCCCGCGACCAGACAAATCGCCGGACGGTCAGCACTCACAGCCCCCATCAATTGAGCGGGAACGGTCTTATCACAGCCACCTAACAGGACAACGCCATCCATCGGCTGGGCGCGGATCATCTCCTCTGTATCCATCGCCATCAGGTTGCGGAACATCATCGTGGTAGGTGCTGTAAACATCTCCCCAAGCGAGATCGTCGGGAATTCAATTGGCAGCCCACCGTGAGACAGCACCCCCCGCTTCACCGCTTCGATCAGGTCAGCAAAATTGTGATGGCAGCTATTAAAACCGCTGAAGGTGTTGATGATGCCGACGATCGGGCGTTCCAACTCCTGATCCGAATATCCCATCGCTTTCGCGAACGCGTTACGGATGTAGACGCTGAACTCCGGATCTCCGTAGTTTGTTAAGCCGCTTTTGATGCCTGACGGATTTTTTGTTTGCATAATATCCTCACTCGCCTTTACGACACCGAAAAATATGCGTAAAATGGGGAATTATGGCGGACAAATCTATAGCGTGGTTCAACATCAAGCGTATCAAAGGTCTATCCTGTATACACGCGTGGCGGTATCGTGAAACATAGCAGCGCGCTCGGCAGTCGAGTAGCCTGATGATAACCGTTTGAAAGCGTTATACATCACGTTGTAGGAAAATGACACCTTATCCACCGGGAAATTGCTCTCAAACATACACCGGTCAGGACCAAACTGCTCAATGCAGTAATTCATCAAGGGTGCCATATCCGATGCGAGTTCTTCCGAGCCGGCGGGTGTTGTTCGGGTGTGCCAGTCAAAACCGGTGCGGGGCATTCCGATGCCACCCAGTTTGACATTGATATTGGGGCATTCTGCTACGGCAGCGATACCGTTCCGCCAAGTGGTGAGCACCTCGTCGTCCCGGATGGCATAAGGACCGACCCGTAGCAAGCCGCCGATATGGTTGAGAATAATGGTCAAGTCAGGTACTGCCTTGGCGAAATCCGCCAACTCGGGCAGCTGCGGGAAATACATCCAAGCCTCAAAAGATAACCCCATACCTGCTAGCACCCGTGCACCAGCCCGAAAATTGTCAGTAGCCAATTGCCCCTTCATCCTGTGAGCGCTCGTGTTTTCGATCTCTGGATGGGGATCCCAAGTTACAGCATGGCGGATGCCACGAAAACGGTTGGGACTGGCTGCCTGCAACGCTTGAAGTACCGGCTCAACCCGCTCCCCTAGGTTCAGGTTGGCGTGGCCAACGATTGCCGCCGCAGCCCGGCAAGGTCCGTATAACCCGCTCGCGCTGGCGGCTGCCAGTCCTTGCACAAATTCAACTTCACCCACAGGACGCATCTCCTCTGGTCCGTCAGCGCGGTACATCGCTCTCGCCTCAACAAACACGGTGAGAGCGGACGTTGTGACCACTGTTCACGTCATCGGCTAGTTCGTGGAGCAGATATCGTTGGTAAGGAACACGCTCCGTCCGAAAGTCCCAGAAGTGGTGATGGGGATCACAAATGGGAATCTCCGGCTCCAAGATCGGTTCCGATGTTAAAGCAAGCCAGTCATTGCCTCCAAATGGCATAAAAACACCTCCGTTGTGATATACCAATTTTTTGTATGATGAATATACGCCGATGTGGCGATAAGAAGTTATAAATATTTATTATACCACTCTTTCCCAATATTAGCGATAAAACAATGGCATTACAGATTGATCACATTTTTGTTGTAAAATTGATAAAACACTGATAAGATAATCATGAGAAGTTCAGCGCAGAAACCTCATTTTTCGGGCGCACTTCCCAGTGTCAAATCCAAAAGTTGAGTACGTGTGAATTTTTATCCCTGACGCGAGTTTCATTGGATCGAGCCATACTTTCGATTTACAGATATGGAGAACGCACTATGCCAATGTCTCACAAAGTGATGAAACAGAAAATCAAAAGGCGATTAAAGGGAAAGGTGGGCAAGGAAAAGCAGGATGAACTCCATCGAATTCTTGAGGAGTTACCTAACTACCGCAGTGGGCCCTACGCAGACCTTCGCAAGTCACTCAACGAAGAAATTCAACAGCAGCAAAAGCGGTCAAAGGTACAACACAGAGACACTTTGGCTGTTGAGAAAGAAGGACACTTTCAAATGGCACTGGTAGGTGCCCCCAACGCCGGAAAGTCTGCATTGCTTAAGGCACTCTCTCGCAGGCAGATAAAAGTTGCTGATTATGCTTTCACCACGTTAAGACCCATACCGACAAGAGTCGATTGCGGTGGACTGTGGATTCAATTGGTTGAAATTCCGGGCCTAATCGCGGGGGCAACGGAGGGGCGAGGAGGGGGACAAGCCTTACTCAGTGTGGCAGCTAACGCTGATGGTTTAATGATCGCACATGACCTGACTGCGGATCAACAACAACTGGACATCGTTTTAACGGAATTGTCCAAGACGAAGCTGCCCCAACCTCTGTTAATTGTATACACAAAAATGGACGATCTCGGTGCCGAAAACCGTTTAAGAGCGGTACAGACGCGATTCCCTCAATTCAACAGTGTTGCGGTCTCGGCAGAGCAGAACTTGCATCTTGAAACACTAAAAGAAGCCATGCGAGCAGCCACAGGGTTGATTCGTGTATTTCCACGTTCAAACCAAGCTGGAAATGCGCCAGATGAGAAGCCGGTGATAATCCCTGCTAATAGCACCATAGAAGATTTTGCAGGTAAGATTCACAAGGATATTGCCCAAAAGTTGAAATACGCTAAAGTTTGGGGAAGCTCTGTGAAATTTCCCGGTCAACAGATTGGAAAAGGACATACTTTGTCGGACATGGATATTGTGACCCTTTATACAACTTAGCAGGTGTTAAAAGCGCGAAGGACCGGCTGCAAACTTGTCACCTAGTGAATATCACCTTGCTAGCACAAGATACTCCCTCAACCCAGCGTTGGAGATCTGTTATGAACGAACAAGCGACCGCTGTTGCGTCCCCGGCTGAAGCACCCGACTTCGACGCAGTCCGCAACGACTTTCCGCGGGCAAGGACCGCTGCGTACTTCGATAACGCCTCATCACACCCACTCAGTGTCCACTCTGCCGCAGCTCTGCACCGTTATATCGACTGGGTCGCGCACGAGGTAGGCGAACCGTGGTGGCCCCCCTGGGCAGCACCACGAGATGAAGCGAAACATCTTTTTGCCAAACTCATCAACGCCCAACCGGAAGATATCGCCTTTGCCCGCAGTGCCGTTGAGGCAGAGAGCAACCTGATCAACGGTATGCAGGAACACCTCTCCGGCGGTAACATCGTCACCCATGACTTACACTATGCTGCGTCCCCTCTACAACTACAAAATACGGGAACAGGCATCTGCGCTCTCGTGTATTGAGGACAGTGACATCCTCCGCATCGTTAAACATCGTGATTGGCAGATCGACTACCGCGACATGGAACGTGCGATTGATAGTAACACCAAATTGGTCTCCATCACACTGGTGTCCAACGTCAACGGCTACCTCTCAGACGTAAAAGCCATTAGCGACCTCGCTCATGCACACGGCTGCCTATCTCTATGTCGATATGATTCAGGGAGTAGGGGCAGTACCTGTCGATGTGCAAGCGATGGGCATCGACTTCGCCGCGTGCTCCACCTTTAAGTGGCTAATGGGTGTCAAGGGATTCGGCTTCCTCTACGTGCGCTCAGACCTCCAAGAAACTGTGGTGAAGCCCACGCAGCACTGCGGCGGCATAAGTTTTAACTATGCCCTTGGGTTGAGGAGCCTGACCCGGAGGTCGCGGAGTACACCTTTACGCCAACTCCCGGACCGTCTTGTTACGAGGTTAGCTACCCATCTTACGAAGGCGTCATCTGTGCGCAAGAAAGCCTGAAGTACATCCATCGGTTGGGTGTTCACAACATCCGCAACCATGTGTACGCACACTCACCGATCGCCTGATGGAGGAACTGCCCATCCTCGGCTATCCTACTATCACCCCCAAGGGGAACGAAAGCCCCATCGTGACTTTTGCGGCACCGGATCCAGCAGGGACTATAGCAAAACTCAGAAACGCCGGCGTTCACGTCGCAATGCGCTACGGCAACAAGATGCGAATCTCCCCTTCCGTCTTCAACAACCAAGAAGATGTCTCTCGTCTGTTAGAGGCACTCGCATGAGATGTAACTCAGGTTTCAGGTGAATATATCAACAGAATACCATCCCTTTGAATCTCAAGAGTTGATCGAGGAGGAAACATGGCTGAAAATTTCTGGTTTAATCGCATGGCTGAACATTGGAGTATCCCACAACGGTTAGATCTGGTTGAGCATGTGAGAAGGGCGAAGCTGCAGGTTGTACAGGTGGGAACCTTCGGACCAATGTTCTACAGTTTGGCAGACGATCCCGAAGTAGATCGCCACTGGGTAGGGATGCCGCTAGTCGGCATAAGAGAAAACCTCGCCTGTGCAGCAGAACTCATCCCCCAACTCCAAGAGGCTGGCGCGCGGGTTGTCGGGCAGATGAGCATGGCATGGAACTACGGAAACCACGAAAAAGGACAGGGGCTGTTCGGTGCTTGGGAGAGAATCTGGACGGAGGACCTTCTAGGCGCTGCACCCTGTGCCAGCGCGGAAGATACCCAACAACGGCTCGCAGATGGATCATTGCGACGTTGGGACATCGAAGGTCGTCCGTATCTAACCTATAGCGGTTGTATGTGCAATCCACACTGGCTTGCCACCCTGAAGCCGATGGTGAAAAAAGCCATCGAGTTGGGGATAGACGGATTCAATGTACATCATAACTTTGAGTATTTCTGCCGATGCAGTTATTGCCAAGATTATGTGCGAGACAAACTACAGGAAGCCTTCGATACTACCGACCTGCGACGGATTTTCGGCAGACATGACCTCGCCGAAGTCCCAGATCTCCTAACCCCCTGCCAAGAATGTCCGGAAGAGCTGGGACAACGGTTTCAGCTAACCGTGAATCGTGCAACCCACCTGCGCCGCAAAGAAGCATTAGACGAAATATACATTGCGCACGGTCGTTCGCTGAAGCCCGATCTCCTGCTAGCACAGTGGTATCATAAATATGATTTCATGCCCCACGACGAGCGCAGCCTCCTGCCGAGTGGGCTATGGGCAAAAGATGAGGATTATATCTGGTACAGTCAAGGCGGATATAAGGGGATGAGTTTCATCAAGCACGGCTATCTGGCGGATATGGGGCTGCCCGCTCGGTTTATCTATGCAGCTGGCGGTGGCAAACCTTTTGTGATTAACAAATATGATTCCCGTCGCTTGCGACTGTCGATTGCCGAAGCCGCAGCAAACCATGCCGCAGCACTCGCATATCATTGGGGTTACGATGAAAACCCGGATTTTGCTGTGGAGGACTACTACGCTCCCGTTATCCGCTATCAACGTTTTCTCGCCGACCACGAAACCCTTCTGCATCCCGCCCAACCTTGGGCACAGATAGCACTGGTCTATCCACGCCGCGCTGAGTTAGAGGATGAATCGGACTGCCTAGAACCGCTCAAGCGGATTGGTCGGTTATTGGAGGACAGGCATCTGCTCTTCGACATTATTCTCGATGAACAACTCCTTGATTGTGCTGCCAACTACGACACGCTCATCTTGCCCGATGTGAAACGCCTATCTCCAGAGGAGGGGGCACATCTCAAGCGGTTCGTCGAACAAGGTGGGAAACTCGTCTTTACGGGGGACACCGGAAAATATCAACTTGACGGACAGCCCTACCCTGAAGGTCTGTTAGCAGATTGGGCACTAACGGATGAGAACCCGCACGGAGGGGGTGTGCTATATCGCAGGGGGGCAATGGGAACCCGATTCAGTAGAGGTACAGACTGGCGTACAACTGCCGGTCTATCCGTCCATAGAGAACGATTCCTTCGGACAGGATTTTCTTAAGGATTTGGAAGGTTTGCTTGGGGAAGTATACTTAGAAACCGATGCGCCATGGTTTGTCCGGGTGCGTGCTTGGCTGCCCGAAGGACATGAGGCTTTGACCCTGCACTGGGTCAATTACCGGCAAGATGAGGATGCGGACATTGAAACACCTCAGCCGGTCGGGCCCGTTCAAGTGGATTGCAAGGTGCCGATGGGCTACGCAGTGCAAAAGGTTGAGTGGCTCTATCCAGAGAAGGGTGATTCGGTCATCCTACATCACGAAACGCTTGGGGAGCGGATTCACTTTACCATTCCAAGCGTGATTGTTTACGGTTTGAGTGTGCTGCATCTACAGAAGGCTTAAGAGAATGGAAATTATTCCTTTCCTACTTTTTATCCTTTGCTGCATTGCTATCGTCGGAACGGTTTGTGGGCTTTTTTATCTTTTGACCCGTTTCGGGCGAGGCGAATCCT